GTCACTTTTATACACCACACACATTATCTATAGGTACACAAACACCCTGAAATTGTTTTGGTCCTATCTTGATATAAAGCAGTTTTATTTCTTCGACATTGACAGGAGTAAAAAATATCAATTATTCATTTATCCTCTTGTTTTCTTGGTAAATACTGACCTGATTATGAATCATAAGACAAATCGTATTGAGCACCTGAATCATAATACATATCATATTGTGACTGCAATGGTAATACCCAGTACTACTACCAATGTCATCCATTCTAGTTGAATAGATCATCATTCATAACATGTCATCTATTCTAGTTGCAACTAGCTAGACGTGTCCAAATCAGCCAAATATCCGAGACCCTTCAAACAGATGGGCGTGTTTCATCATGTTAGTACAATATCTTTGATTGGCATTTAGTAATTGAACATATTAACACAGGGTACAGTTTTATGGATACACAATTACTGAGTTTAATACTAAGCGACGTTTCGATGGGGATACTCTCGTCTTTATCAAGCATAGTAGGTAAATATATACAGAATATGTTAGTACAATAATATAATTACCTCCTTTAAAACATCATCAATAACACTAGCTCCCGTCATTCTCTTGTCAAAATTCTTTATTTTTGTTACACTGTTCATTTTACGAGTTATCTATAAATAATAATAAAAACATGAAATATTTATTCAAACAGTTGAAACATGGTTTACCATTCCGTCACTCAAGGAAGGAAGGAATAGTGGAAATGAAATATCCGACTGGGATATTGAAGACGGGCCTACGCCATACAGTGTGCTATGATATATATTTTGCCCGGTCAGAGGCACTATGCCCTTCTCTTATATTGAATTTCAAGGGATCTTTTACGTGCATGCCAACGTATACACAGGGCCTCAGGAATAGTGTGGATGAAACCTTCTGTAAACGTTAAGAGAGAGAGAAATGGGGTTTAACGTCCACTTGACACAAACTAGGTCATTTCGGGGTTAACATATGGTTTAATTTTTTATTTCAATAATTTGCTTGTGCGTAGGGGTCTTTAGCTGTGGGAGAAAACCGGAGGACCCGGAGAAAACCCACGAGGTTAGACAGGCAACCCTACTCCTTGTCACGTACAACCAGGGATACAAAACCACGCCAGTTGACTCAATGACAGGCCTTATGATACAGCGTGTATCTGCTAACCATTAGGCCATCCGTCCGCCCCCCCTGTAAACGTTAGGAATCCTGATACAAACCTTTTTGACACCTGTTGAAGGTAGAGCTAGCGTTGATAATGTAAACAAAGCTACATCTTCCGATTTCTGTTGTCCATAAAAATGGGCTATCACTAAAAATCTGGAATAAAAATCAACATATATTCTGTTTACATGAGACAAAGTATTTTATATTACATTTGTTGTGCCATACACCCATAAAAGGCAGCTTACACAAAGTTGATAAACATGCACAACTATTATTTTGAAAAATGGAAATGGAAATGAAATGAAATGAAATGAAATGAAATGAAATGAAATGAAATGAAATGAAATGAAATGAAATGAAATGAAATGAAATGAAATGAAAAAGAAATGAACTGGGGTAACATTCCAAAAGATTGAGACGAAATGGTATTTAACATCCTACTTTCTGCACAAACTGGGAAGCTAATGCTGGAAAATACCGGGGAACTTCCGCTGCCTACCACGGGATCGAACTCCAGTTCTCTCTCCCTGGTGCGTGAGTGAGTACCTTACTCACTCTACTGAGCGCCACCTGTGGTTCCTAAATACCTGGGCCCTTATTCACGAAAACTTAAACTAAGTTACAATCGAAATTTTAAGAAATACTGCAATTCGATTGGCTGACCAATATGCAAATTGGATATATGCAAATTGATTTTACTGGTCAGCCAATCGAATTGCAGTATTTCTTAAAATTTCGATTGTATCTTAGTTTAAGTTTTCGTGAATAAGGGCCCTGGGGAACTTTCGCTGCTAAAAACAGAATCAAACTTCCCGGCAGCTTACTCACTGAGCCACTCTGATTCTCAATTTTTTTTTTTAAATCACCAAGTACTCTGTCTCATTTATAAAACAAGCATTGTCAAATATAAAGATAAAGATAAAAACTTACCCACTAATAAAGATTAGGGTATAAAAAATGATCAAGAAACACACACTTCCAAATGTTGCCAAAAACAACCCCAGTCCAAGTGTGACCCATTTCCAATTACCGCCCAGTAGATTCATCTAGAAAACATAAATCATGCTTAGGAAATGAGAGAGAGAGAGAGAGAAATAATAATAATAATAATAAAAACTTTATTTAATGAGGCAACGTATTTAGTTTGCAAAAAAAAAACTAATCTTCCATAGGTCCCTCCTAAACTACAAAGACATATATACATGTAATATCAGGATAAATTTAAAATCATTAGAAATGCAATAGCATTTTAAAGTGGGAAGTTTGATAAGTCACTCCCAAACTACAAAACATATACATTATACAAGTAGAATATAGGAAGAACACTATAATTACACACAAAATAAAATAGAATGCAGTTGCAAGTTAAAAATAATAAGTATGTCATCAGTTGAATATTATGGGGGTTAATGTGCACCTGACACAAACTAGGTCATTATGTGCCCACAACTTAATGTACATCTGTAAATACATGTTCAACTTGTTTTGTTTCTTTATTGTTTCATTTTTAATGTATAAATTTCTATCTCTTTTCTATCTATTAATGTACCCATTGATTAAAGGGCAAAATGTAAGAAAGGCCATTGGCCTAATTTTCAACCCTTTTGAAATAAAGTTATTATAATTATTATTATAACATATGTTTTAATTTATTCAATAATTCGCTTGCGCATAGGGGTCTTTAGCAGTGGGAGAAAACCGGAGGACCAGGAAAAAACCCGTGAGGTTGGACAGGCGACCCTACTCCTTGTCACATACAACCAGGGATTCGAAACCACGCCAGTTGACTTAATGACAGGCTTTATGATACAGCGCACACGTGCTAACCATTCGGCCATCCAACCCCCCGGTTAGGAAATGAAATGAAATGAAATGGGGTATAACGTCCTACTGTTCTGCTCCGAACCTGGCTAATGAATACGGGTATACGCCATACAGTGTGCTATGAGGCAAATTTTGCCCGGGCAGCAGCACTATGGACTACACTTATATCGTATTCAAATGTATACACAGGACATTGGGTTTTTTACCCATTCAAACAACTAGACAGCTGTCCTTGTCAAATCATGGTTAGGTCATATAAAAAAAAATATTCCGCATCACTTACAAAGGGCTGCATGACCGGTTTCTATTTCAAAAAATAAATTACATGTACTGCACGTAAATGTTTACCCCTCAGTTACAGGATATATAAAAATTTGAATGAATCCAGCAATGTGCCATACACTCAGTTATCAACTACACAACCCCGATTGTCATCAAGCTTGGTGATAATAGATTGAACTTGGTGTTAAACAATTATAGACGGAAGACCGCCAGGTTGGTTTATACATTATCAAAATAGCATTAAAAATTAATCTTGTCGAAAAACTTATTGGTCCAACATAATTATCATTAAATTGAATAATCTGAATATAAGTTCCGGTCATCTAAAGTTCCCAGAAGTTTAAATTGATTTCATGGCGGCATTTGCGCCCAAACTGGACAAAAATTGAATGGAATATTCAAATTGTAGAACTGATATCCAATGTGACATCTTGTGATATCCAATGAATGAATGCTGGGCTGGATTGATCCTTTAGTTCGATGACCGCTGCAGTGAAGTTTAAAATGAAAAGGTTTTACTTGGCTATTGTTTTATCAAGAAAGGGGCGTGTCAATAACTATTAAGAAAATGTATCAGTCATGACAGTATTGAAACATGATAAGTTCTACTGTCAAAACTAACTTTGGTATGTTAGACTGATTTTATAAAAAAAAACTTGAAGGGGGTTATAAATTTACCAGTAAAAAGATGAGGTCAGCAATTATACTACGGTGAAATGTACGATGAATTTATATGAATAACTGTCAATTTTCTATAAAGGCCCATACACAGGCTAAATAATCAATTAAATTCATAATTTTATAGTCCAGAATTTATATTTTCAAACTTCAATGGGAACCTTCTTAACATTTGACAATATTCATTAGATGAACGATTCACGTATTAAAGCTTTATTTTAAAGTTTAATGATTGATTTAGTGAGAGATGTAGATAACCAAACGTCAATAAAGTAAAGATTCAAGAAAGCCGAAAGGGTATAAATAAGGCATACTCTTGCGATTTCTGTCTGATGCAAGTATCTTCACAAATCTAAACACAAGCCAAGATCATGGTCATTATCTACTAATTGACCAACGATTCCCGTCATCCATATAAAAAGATATTATTCGTTGAAAACATCATAATTAAAACAATCGTTTTAGAAATCTGGATTTGGAAGCCATGTTAAAAATTAATGGAGGGTTGGGCCAATTATAGCTTACGATACGTTCGTACACCTGTTTCTCATGTAACATGAAAAATGATTGGCTATTATTCATGATCAGTGGAGATAACTTCTACCGAATTGTTTTATGGAATCAGACCACTACGCCTAGTTCTTTACAAAACGTGCTAATGACAGATAAAGCGAAAATTTATAGCAGATCATTGAGTTTTTAATATTAAATTCTTGCTATGTCTCGACCCCTAATAGTTTTAATTATTCCGTGCATTCTATCTTTTTATTCACAATGCGCCTCCTACTTTTTATGCAAATATTTATAACTTATAGGCCTATGGCAGTTGCCTTGTCTGCTTTGATTTCTAACGGCGCTACAGCTGTCATTATCAAATGACATAGCGGTTCGGGCTTTATTGCCTGTTTGTCGTCTCAACTAGTAAAAAAAAAGAGAAGGAAACTTAAACAGTTTGAAAGAGACCTTTTACTGAAACTGGACAGACAGGTGTGTTAAAGTGGTGGTCTGTATCCAAGTAAAGTAACAAGAGTTGTGTCCCCCTAATCCGCAACAGGAAGTTTACGTTTGGAGGTCAGATTGCTGTAAGGTGACCGGTCGACGTTTCGGTGTTTCTTCTAGTTTAGCAAGAATGACGGGGGGAAATTATGAGATACCCGACTGGAAAACTTACAAATGGCAGGGAATTCCTGAACTAGAAGAATACCAAAAACTGTTAGCCAGGGAAGGTCTGAAAGACCCATGGATCCGGTAGGTTGATCTTGATTCTGTGTTGTGTAGATTCTAGAGAGATTCAAACCAACTTTCCAAGTATTGAAGTTGAAGTCAATCTGTTTCACAAAGGTGTTGTGAAAGCCTTCTTATACCTCTGTATTAAATGACTGACCTTTAATATGTATTATGTAACAGACATTGCCTGAGTAGAGCGAAGCTGATTGTTGTTAAATATATAAAAGCTGTATGTATGTTAGTTTTCGATAATAATAATATAACTATTAAATTTAAAGTAGAAATTCATATCAGTGTGTTGTGAATGCTCCAATATCCTACAACCCTTGTCAACTGTCAGCTGATTTAGCTGCTGTGAGCATATGTTTTGTTGCCTAGCAACCTATCTTTACTATTTTAGGAATGAAGTATGGAGATATCAACCGGAAATCCCACGACTAATGGATGGTGTAAGATACTCATTTTTTCGGGGGTTTAAATATGCTGCTGCAGCCATGGTTGTCACGATATTGGTGGATAAATTGGTTTTAAAAAAAAGAGGCGGCCATGATGATCATCATTAGATGTAGTTAATATGTTTGAATATCAATGATCCGCGTATAAAAAGTGATAGACTAAAGACAATATGAGTTCACCTAGTGGTGTGGTGATAAACAACAACTAGAAATAAATTTATTGGAATATTTTATGATGTGTCTTCCTGGTCTTTTCGGTGGGACATGTATTTGTATTGTGAACAGTAGTATACATAAACTTACATGTAAGAGGGGGGGGTACCGGGAATTCTTGTATTTAAGCCCTGGTGGGATTAATTTCGAATTTGACCATGTCAGTGATGAAACATTTCTTCTGAAATTAAGCCCAGGGCTTAAATTCGAAAAGAAGAAAAAACGACAAACATTTGGGTTCTTTTTATAATTTTAAATGAAACGAATCAAACTCATCAACAAAAATGGTTTTTAAAACACAATTGTGATACACCGTCACATAAATGTTCTGAAATACAAAAAGAAACTGTCCATAAACTTTAAATTTCAATGCCCGACAATTACTTTCTTACACTCGACAGCCACTGCATATTCATACACATTTAAATTGTCACATTTAGTGTCTAAGATGTCACCTGCAATTGGAGTCCAAAGAGTTTTAAAGATGTGAAACCCTCTCAAGGCACTAACAGTATAATGTACACCAATTCGATGCGACTCCATCAATGTCAACACATGTGGTTTGACCACTCTAAAATAAATTTTAAATTTAAGCCCATGGGCTTAATAACGGCAGGCCTTAAATACGAGGATTCCCGGTACGTGTCATGTATGTGATGAGATCAGTAATATACAGGAGCCTGGGGGTGGGTGGTACTTGAATGTAATGGGAATAGACTTTCGTACTATACGTGAACCTGAGGGAGGGGGGTGATGAGATCAGTAGTATGAACCTAAGGTGGGTGGTACAACGCATTTGTATGTAATAGGAATAGTGGTACACACATGAACCTGAGGGGTGGGTGGGTGGGTGGGGGTGGGGGTACATGTACATGTCATGTGTGTGATGGGAACAGTAGTATACATGATAGGAACATGTAGTATACATGTACCTTAGAGAAGGGGTGGGGGGGAAGAGAGAGAGAAATGGGGTTTAACGTCCATGTAGTATACATATACCTTAGAGAAAGGGTGGGGGGACCTTCAGATCTACATGTAAAAGGTTGTTTTTCTCTCAGGACAGTAGAAGGATACAAGATGCCCAACCCAATTGAAGAGTTCAGGGGAGGAACAATCTAAGTCACCTTTTCCACGAAAAAAGCTTTTTGTGGAACAATCAATTTCAGGTAAAAACGATGGGAGTCACATCAAACCAAGGCCCTTCTGAAATGGCGTCCCGGACAATTGTACCCTTTATTTGACCTTAATTTGCCTGAAAAGTTGAAGTGAGTTGTACTGGTAAATATGGTACGTATTAAACATCATTTTGAAGTTGTGATCAAACTCACTTCTGAAATGGTCTCCCGGACAATTGTACCCTTTATTTGACCTTAATTTGCCTGAAAAGTTGAAGTGAGTTGTACTGGTAAATATGGTTCGTATAAAACATCATTTTGAAGTTGTAATCAAACCCACTTGTTGTTCTGTCGCGTCAAACATTCTCGTCCAGAAGTCTGTTTTGTGTTTCATGCGAAAAGACAAAAATGTGACTTAGATCATTTTTCAACAAAAACACATCTTGTTATATGCCCACATATTAGTGTGGGATAATTTATTTTGTTGTTGCCCAGTCTGTCGGGCCAGGGGATGCATTAGGTCATGAGAGGGTGAACCCTATCGCTATTCAACTGTGATAGAGGCCACATTTTTATTCAAATTTGGTATGAAGCATTTAGGGTCATTAGACGATGAACCCTATCGATATTCATCTTCCATAATATTGTAGTTGACAATGGATCACACGATTAGATACTTGAACTATAATTGAATAAAAACAAGCAATAAATATAGTGGCAATTTATTTTATTGATGATACAAGACTAGAATCTTAATATAATTATAAACATAACCCATATCCATTAATATATAAACACGGTTGACAGCAGTTAACTTAGTAATGGGTCATGATGGGAGATTAGATAAAGAGCTGACAGTTCTCGCCATAATAGTTAAAATCTAGATAATGTTAAGGCAATTTGCTAAAACTTTCAGTCACATTGATCCATTCTGAACCGAGATATAAGCTTTGAGTTTTAGGCCTAGCCTCCATCATCATTACTAAAGTCAGTAGGATAAAAATCACAGTCTTGATTAATCATTTTTGGATTAAATCATCAATAGCATTGAGCAGCAAATGGTCAAGGTCGAAGGTACCAAATTATATTTGTTTCTTTAACGTTTTCCCGTCAAAATGCCACCTAAATCCTGGATTGGGAGTATAGAATAAAAAAAAATGATCAAAAATAAGGTTTTTTCACTCTCTGAAATAGGTTAGGCGCGAAAATAAAAATGTTTAACCAGCTTGGATAATTAATTCCTATTAACTTGTTAACTTGCTCTCAACCCTGTATAGAAGGATGTCACATCAAGACATAAGATGGACTTATAGTTAGATCTCCATGGTAATATAAGAGAGGCCTATAGTTAGATCTCCATAGTAATATAAGAGAGGCCTATATAGTTAGATCTCCATGGTAATATATGAGAGGCCTATAGTTAGATCTACATGGTAATATAAGATAGACTTATAGTTAGATCTCCATGGTAATATAAGAGAGGCCTATAGTTAGATCTCCATGATAATATAAGAGAGGCCTATAGTTAGATCTCCATGGTAATATAAGAGAGGCCTATAGTTAGATCTCCATGGTAATATAACATGGGCCTATACATGTAGTTATATCTTCATGGTAATATAAGAGAGGCCTATCATTAGATCTCCATGGTAATATAACATAGTTATATCTCCATGATAATATAAGATGGACCTATAGTTAATTCTCTGTGGTAATATAACATGGGTCTAAAATTAAATCTCGAGTTAGATCTCCATAAACATAGGTCTAAAATTAGATCTCCATGGTAATGTAATCATACAGAGATTGTCCCATCACTAGTCAAAATAACACATGACATCAACCTAATTCAAAAGAATTTAATTGACAGAAAACAAAGAGTTTCTGTCATAACAAGTATTAACAATCATAAACATTACAATTCCGAATTTTACTTAAAAGGACGAAAAGTGTCCAATAAATACTAATAACGTGTAGATAGGATCCACGTTGGCTCAGTCAGTAAGATGTTGGCTTGCTAACCTGGAGGTTCGGTGTTCGATCCCAGTGTGACCAACAAAGTTCATCAGGATTTTCCAGCATGGTTTCCCCCTTTATGTTAGTGGTGCAGGACTGAGGGCCTGGCAAAGGACAACATATAGTCGTTTGGATGGTACAAAAAACCTAGGTCTTGTGTACACATTGGCGTGCATGTGTAAAAGATCCCATGGCTGTTGGAATTTGATATAAGAGTAGGTCGTAACATCTCTGTCCGCACAAAATTTCTCCTCATAGCACACTGTATGGCTTAAGTCTGTCTTCATTAGCCCAATAGGTGGTTAAAACCCCTACCCACCATTTCATTTTTTATAGATCGGACCATACTGTGTCTGTAAAGACAGTATGTGTATATATGATCAAGAATTTGACGTCAAGGAATTTTGGTTACATCTCAAAATAATTTCTCATCAATGTTACATCCAAAATTAATATTAGACATGAAATGAGTACAAATTATACATTTGTGCAAATATAGCCCTTCCAAAATTTTTTCAAACAACTTTTTTTTGCAACATTAACCCTTGTGTGCATACAAGAGGTATTTCGGAACCCCACAACCATATCCTTAACGTTTGTGAGGAACTGGTTCATAATTGTCTAACGAGAATTTTATACATTTTCAGCTACTTAATGTCCAGTATAATGCTGCAAATAGAACGGAAGTGAGGCAGTGGCAACATTCACCATTTGACATTATCGGAAACAGGGGGTCTTGTGGACCCCTCTCCCCTTTCCTTTCAACATTTTGCTGGATACAAGTGTCTAATCTGTTCTGCATTTTGTGCTAGTTTTGTATTTGGAATCTTTCTTACTGATGATATTTTGTTGGTTATTCTAGTAATCTAGATCTGAAAGCAAATTTAGGTACCCTACCAACCCCATAAAAAGACGATTCTACATGGAAATGACAATTAAGTTATTTGTAGATTTGTATGGTTTCAAAAATAACCAAAATTCCTTGAAATGAAATTCTTGATCGTATACTATATTGTCAATGTGCCCAATAACCAATTTCCTTATTTATATCAAATAAAAATAAAAACTTTAAAAATATTCTCGAGATAGTAATAAACATCATTAACACAAAAAAAAATAAGATTAGATGCTGTCTTGTGTTTGATGTTAGTTGATAGAAATGAAATATCCTTCAGGCATTGGCTGACAAGGTTGAAGGGCATGAATTCAATAGAAAGTAATGTGAAATTTAGATGACCATAACTTCTATTTAATAATTTTCAGACCAAAATGTTTTTTAGCAAGACTAATTTAGACAAGTCCCGAATTCACAAAGCATTCTCAGCCTTAAGTTAAAGGGCCAGTCTCGGCTATATTTTGGAGAATAAAACTGCTTAATTTTGCGTGAAAAGCCCTTAAAAACTGCTGCCTTAGGGCCAAGCATCTAAATCAATATACGTGATACGTTTTATAACAAATTAAATCCACCAGTCTTCATCTGGAAATGGAGACCGGTGTCCCAAGCTGTATTATATGGTGTCTGGATAAAACCAGATTTTTATTCTATAAAAATAATGTGTAGGTGAAATTTACCGTTCGTTATGAAGTACAGCACTTTAAAATGCACTGTTTTGACCTCTAAAAGAATGGCAATAGATTATAAGGTCACCCAATGAAAAAATTGACCTGAAATCTTAAAAGGGTTACGTGTCCGGATAAGCAGTTTTGAAGTTCACGTCCAAGCGACTCAAAATTTTGAGCTGAATTTTTCAGACAAGATAAATACCACATTCCTCTATATTTTGGCGCTTAAATTTCATACGTACACAGACTTTTATTTTCAAGACTCTGTTAAAATTGGGATGGTCCCTTTAAGTTAAGAATTTACTCAACTTTCAATCACTGTTTATAACAAATATTTTTGATCAAGAAACACAAAACTCGTGCTCCACATGTGTATGGCATAATAATAAGTTCTACTGTGACGACTGAATATATACATAGGGAGGCTCGATCGTCAACCCGGAACGTCCAAAATAGACAGAATTGCAATCGAGTGACATGTAATTCATTCCTGTCACTCATGACGTAAACAAAAACAACCAATATCTTTCAGCTGTCACGGTTGGTTGAGAGATTTCCTTATGCAGTCGTCACATGCGTTGTAGCCCGAATTCCTCGTTTTCACCCAATTTACACTATTTTTGGTATTGAGAGAATTCAATTCCAGAACGTTCAGTCGAGCATCCCCTGTGTAATACTATAAATTATATTGGGGTAATTTTTCTTGGATTTTACGAGTAAAAATGACAAAAGTTGCCGTACACCCAACGCACACATGAAATAGAATCTCTACGTTAGTTCGATATTCCCAAAGATAAAGTTGACAGACACAAATACTTCCTAACGTACCACATGCCAACGGCTTCCTCATCGTCGTCGGAAAACACATTAAAAACACCTGAAATATCAAATAGAAATATTTAAAGTTTTAAACAAGTATGAGAGTAGTCTCGGTCACCCAGAACCTCCTAGACCTGGATGATAGAGACTAGTATGAGAGTACAAAATCAACCATGATGTCATCACAGCCATCTTGGAATTCTGAAGTCAATTCTGAAGTTTGTCTATTGATGCAGAATTGTCCAAATTTTAAACAAATATGAGCGCACAAAATGAATCAGAAACCAACTATGACATCATTGCAGCCATTTTGGAATTCTGAATTCCAAAAAACAAGCATGCCAGGTTTTATGTTGATCGCATTATTTGTCAGAGTCTGAGGCTATTTTTGATGGAGCATCACCTCCGAGAACTAGAAGATTTTCAATGGAGCATCACCCCCAAGAATGAGAAGATTTTCGATGGAGAGTCACCCCTCAAGAACGAGAAGATTTTCGATGGAGCATCACACCCAAAGAATGAGAAGATTTTCGATGGAGCATCACCCCCAAGAACAAGAAGATTATTAACAAGTACATGTTTGCGGAACCAGGGGAGAGAAAAGCACTTTAATGTCCACTAGGAGGGGGAGAGAAATGGGGTTTAACATCCACTTGACACAAACTAGGTCATTTTGGGACTAACGTGTGGTTCAATTTTATTTCAATAAATTTCTTGCACGTAGGGGTATATAACAGTGGGAGGAAACCGATGCGGTTGGACAGACGACCCTACTCCTTGTCACGTTCAAGCAGGAAATCGAAACCATGGCACTTGACTCAATGACAGACCTTGTCATTACCCGCAGATGTGTTAAAACCACCTATTCAGATTTTTAGAATTGTGAATTTTTCTGTATTTGAACCATTGTTATCAAACACTTCCTATAAAAGAATAGAATGGTGTTTAATTCACATTACCAATAGATTAGTTTAAAAAAAACTTTCGTTTATTATTATACTTTCGATTACCCAATCAGCATCGGTGTTTCATGTAGGTATTCGGAAATATTAGAATCTGTGTTTTAATGTCACAATATTATAACGTTACCTGACAGACCCAACAGACAATGTGATAACATTACCTAACACATTACCTGACAGACAATATTATAACGTTACCTGATAGACAATATTATAATGATAACATTACCTGACAGACAATATTATAACGTTAACGTTACCTGACAGACAATATTATAACGTTACCTGATAGACAATATTATAACGTTACCCGACAGACAATATTATAACGTTACCTGATAGAGAAAGAATCCACAACATAACATAAATGTGAGTCCATATTGAAATAAATCACTGCTATAATCCTGAAATATAGAAGATATAACACATTACCATGGTTACAAGTGAGGGTGGGGCATGTATTGTTAATTCTCTTTTAGAATAATGTTGATCTCTTTTTTGCCTTTTGTTAAATTATAATCTGCACAAATTGAGATAATGAAGACAGGCATATACAATGTGGTGATAATTTCCAGGGCTGCACTCCTGAGCCTACTCTTATTACAAATTCCAACTGCAAAGGGATCTTTTACGTGCATGCCAAAGTCTACATGGGACCTCTGTTGTTTTCCCCATCCGAACAATGGAAAAAATGGACAATTCAGATACAACTGTCAGCGGGAGCTGTGTCTTCAAAACATGAAGTTTCTTTAATTGAATAAAATAAGACAATCTATCAACTTTTAGAATTAACATAGGCCCAATATCTAACTAACACACCATGCTACTTATATCGATGTGTCCATCCTGAATAACTGCTATACCACAAGCCAGATGTAACTAACACACCATGATACTTACCTCGATGTGTCCATCCTGAATAACGGCTATACCACGAGCCAGATGTAAAAAGGCACATAAAATATTCAAACCAGTTGCTACCCAACCAAAAATATCAAAAGATACATAATGTCTTCTGCTAGAAGCTGTAAATAATAAAAAAAAACTTTTAGATTTGGTTAAAATTCTCTGAATGTCAATTTAGCGATTAAGGAATCCCTTGTATCATACAAGCTGAAATTTGGACATCTAAAGGGAATATCATCCAAAAATGAATCGAAATGAAATGGAATACAACACTTGTCTCTATTGATGTAATGAAATGAAGTGAAATGGGGTTTAACGTCCTACTGTTCTGCTCCTAACCTGGGCTAATGAAGATGAGCATACGCCATACAGTGTGCTATGAGGGAAATTTTGCCCGGGCAGCGGCGCTACGGCCTACTCTTATATCGAATTCCAACTGCCAAGGGATCTTTTACGTGCACGCCAATGTGTACACGGGACCTCAGTTTTCCGTCCCATCCGATCAACAGCTGTCCTTGTCAGGCCCTCCATCCTGCATCACTGACAAGGGGAAACCACGCCGGAAAATCTGAATGAACTTTCTCGGTCAATGCAGGGATCGAACACCTGACCTCCAGGCTAGCGAGCCAGCGTCTTACCAACTTAGCCACGTGATTCCCATCATCCAAAAATGGTTTAATTCCTTTCAATATTTACATAGATATGGTGAATTGAAAATTTGTCAACATTTGCCTATTTTCAATCGATTGAATCAACATGGATTAAACTGCGGAAAATTTCATATGTTTAAAGAAATGAAATATAATGGTGTTTAATGTCCTACTGTTTTGCTCCTACTGGGTTAATGAAGACGGGCGTACGCCATACAGTGTGCTATGAGGGAAAATTTTGTCCTTTGCTAGGTCCCCCTTCCTACACAACTGACAAGACAGAACCACACCGGTAAATCCAGTTGAGCTTTCTCAGCCAACGTAAGGATCGAACATAGGACCTCCAGATTAGCGAACTATCGTCTTACACACTAAGCCACCGTGGCTACCCATATGTTTAGAGGAGCTAAATCTCTAAATCAATATTTTCCATAACATTCAAATTTATAAACAGGAATAAGAATTCAATATTGGTCCATTTCAATAAATGGTGATGATGTTACCCTGTCGTGAAAACACAGGGACGATGGACATTTTATAATCAATCACATCAATATGTGGTCTTAGAGCCTTTAAGTAAATTTTTTACCTGCAGTTCTAAAAGATGATGTTTTTGTTCCGATCTCCGGATAAAGTTCTCCATTAGATATGTTATATGGGGGTCGTAGTTCATATTCTTGTGTTAAAGCAGAAAAATTTAATTTAGTCATTAATGATCGAGGACTGTTGTATTTTGATTTTGTCTTCTGTATAAACATAGCTAAAAGTAGAACATAACACCATTACGATTTTTAACATCACATCACAATTATCATGGTTTAACGTGCTCGGTCCTATTCTCTTTGTGCTCTACACCAGCCAAGTAGCCTCTATAATTAGAAGTCACAATCTTTCGCACCATTCGTATGCTGATGACACGCAAATCATAGATAATTTTCCACCAGAGAGTAAAACAGATTTCTTTCTCAAAACAGTTCCATCACTTGAATCTTTTAAAACAAAACTAAAAACTCATCTATTTAACAGTGCATTTTAGCTAGAGTGGATCCGGATATGTGTGTACATGTAAATAGTGACCATAGAGTACATAGTACGCGCCTAGAGCATGCATTTGTGGATGGGTTGGCGCTTTACAAATATACATTATTATTACTGTTTATGCTCTTACTGGGTTCATGAAGACAGCCATATGCCATACAGTGTGCTATGAGGAGAATTTTGCCTGGACAGTGGCACTAGTGTCTACCCTTATTTCAAATTCCAACTGTAAACGGATTTACCCCGGCTCCCATATTATGGGTGACAGACAAGCTCCAATGAACATACGGAGACCATATATAAAAGATTTCTTAGCCGTTGGAATTTAGCCTCCCTGTCTTCGATACAGCAAAAATCACACATCTTGTTTTAGTCTCAAAATTACCTGAGAAAAAAAATTGCAAAGAAAACTTACCTGTATATAATAATAAAATTATATAGTAGGAATAGGAAATGAAATGGGATTTAACGTCTACTGTTTTGCTCCAAACTGGGCTAATGAAGACGGTTATACAGTAGGTCTACATGTATGTGTACTTAATAATATTATATAGTAGGCCTACATGTACATAATAATAGAATTATATAGTAGGCCTTCATGTACATAATAATAAAATTATTTGATAAACCTGTACACCATAATAAAGTAGATTCAGGAAAAGGCATATACATGTAGAGGGGAGTCAAAATAGGGATAGGTGCCTGACATTTTGCCTGTTCCCAGATCTCCCATTCATTGTAGTAAATAAAATATCTCTTTTAAAAAAGAAATAAAAATGTAAACTTACCGAAATTGATGTAAACATATGGTCTAGATATACTTTCAGCTGTTTTATGATCATGTTCTTGTAAAAACTCTTTCATTATTTCATTGAGAAAAGAGAAAGCCAGGACAGGAGGATAAGATGCATCTGTTAAAACCAAGAAGGTTAACCCAACAGCACTAATCAAACTGAAATATAATAAAATCATGATAAATCCTTGTATTTATATCTATCCAGCTGTAATTGGGTACCGATTGGATGGTGCAAGGTAATTTTAATGTTGCAGAGAAATGGACCCTTGAGGGTTCCAAAAGGAAATGAAATGGGGTTCAGAGTCCTTCTTTTCTGATGCCATGCACAGTTTTTTGAAGAAACTTTAATCCGGACAGCGGCCCTACGAAACAGGACCTCATTTATTTGTCTATCAGAACGAATAGACACCGTTGTTTACCAGGTCCTCCATCCTGCTGGGGCAACCATGTCAGACATCAATAGAGATGGTTAGGGATGAGGGGATATCGAGAACGGAAATAACGATACTGGTACTTCAAAAAATGTTTATTTGTTTGGAGAAAGAGAAATGGGGTTTAACGTTCACTTGACTCAAGCCATTTCGGGATTTACATATGGTTCAGTTTTATTTCAATAATTCACTTGTGTGTATCGGTCTTTAGCTGTATATGTGGGAGGAAACCGGAGGACCTGGAGAAAACACATATGGTTGGACAGGTGACCCTACTCCTTGACTCAATGACAGACCTAATGATGTAAAGCATGACACATTAAACAATTCAATCACCCCCTGAAAGAGATAAAGAGTAATCAACTAACTGTACACTGAATCTACCACAGGGATATGAACATCGATCACTGAATGTGAAATTTCCAGTTTTTCTTGACAAAAGTTTTAAATCTTTGTACGCTTCTTGATAATCCAGATCTTGTTCTATTGGTGATCCATCTGTTGATCCCGCTAAAGGCAGTCCATCCCGCGATCGTGCGATCATCGCAAAATGAATAGACATTATGGAAAAGTATTGTCGTGTACGTAAGCTTACAGACAACTATGATTTTTTCAAATTTTATTACAGGTGAGGCTATCTTTTTCTAAATTTTCTAAACACTGATGACAAGAATGATGTTGTCATTTTATTTTGAAGAACAAATGACTCTTGTTAGTGAGTTAATTCACAAATATCTAATTCATTAAAAAAATTTAACAACTTTCATTTTCAATTAAAAATGTCAGTTGTCACGAGTTGTTCTTGAATAAATCTGAGTATTGGATTTCGTTAATCCGAAACTTTAATTACGTTTACTAACAAACTGGTTCTTTCTTTAAACAATCCAGCAATTATTATGAAAAAGCATCAATTTGAGATAAAGAAACGTGTTACGCTTGATTTTGTTCAATATGTTTACAAACACACCGCCACATCAACCGGAAGTTGGTATTTATTTGCTTTTTTTTCATTAAAGATTTACTTCCGTTTTTGGCCTAGCAACTGTGAACTACTTTTTTTGTTACTGCGCTGGTTCGAAGTATTCAATTATATCTCTAATCAGAAACTGTATGACCGTGATTGAGATTATGATCACTAATTTTCTACTTTTGATGACGGATTTTAGATTTTAACATTTTTTTTGCACCAGAAGAGGATTATTAACATAAGAATTATTTTATTCATCGCCAGTTGATAAAAGCGAAGTAACTCGGCAAAACAACATGGCTGCAAAAATGTAGAATGGAATAACTTTTTGACGTATTCGATGTGAATTTAGAATGAAAAGAATTTATTTATTATTTGAATGAAGTGAAATCTAGAAAACAAGATGCCGACCGTTGGAAACTACGACAGGAGTAGCAGTGGGCCCCTCGCTGTGGCTGTAAAGAGAGATATGGGGCTGCTAGTCGACACCATGGAAATTGTAGAACCTGTCAAAAAAAGTCAATATGTTCCAAACCATATTTTAGAAACAAGTATGTTTAATGATTAAATTAATCAAAATATCGTGCCAATATTTTACAAAAATGAAAATTTTTTAGCTGATTTGAGTTCATAATATGTAACAGGCCTTGCCTGAGTAGAGCGAAGCTGATGTGATTGTTGTCAAATAAAACCTTCATAATAAAGTTTCCCCAATTGAAAAAAGAACAAAAAGGTGTGAGGATTTTCATTGACGTCAAAATTATCTGACGTCATTTATTCGACGCGTCATAGAAATATTTCTTAGAGACCCAAAATCTCGCTTGGGCGAGATTTGGTAAGTTGACATGCGCTGACATGCGCATTGACAGACATGCGCATTGCCTGTTTTCCCCAGTGTATCCGGTTCCTGTATCCGGTTCCTGCTTTAGAGCTTCGCTCTATATCAATTAATTGCGAAGACAAGAATCGCGAGTGTTAGGTATCATTACACTTGCTCTGTTACTGTGGGTTCAGGAACCATCCCATTGAAACCTTGTTGAAAAAGAATTGGCCCATTAAAACCTTGTGTCTAGTCTCTGTAAACACATGAACAATGTAAAGGAACATTTAAGTGAGAAAATAAGACCTTGCTTATTTCGCTAGAGTCAGTATGTGCAACACAACATGCTGTTAAAAATACGTCCCCTTCTGCTAAACGGCTTAGCAGAAGCAATTGGAATCTAAATATAGGGCAACTCACAAATTTACATAACTTGGCCATATTAATAAGTCAAAATGTCAGGTACCTACCGGTAGTAGATCATTAGCGACTCGACTGACATTTTGTACAAATAAATCATTATCCCCAGAGATACATATGACAGGGCTATAATATAATACTAAACTGAACATTATGTTAATTGAAATTAAGATGAATTTCAGGCTATTCACATATTTATTTCAGAAACATTTGCGAAAGTGGGTAAAAATTCCATGATCCATGCTCGGCCATCTACAATCCATTTTGATGGCTTTAACACGTTTACAAGACAGAGTCAAACTTTATCTTTAGTCAATGCATCAACAGAGGTGATTTGTCTACACATAATACCTCCACAGACCAAACATTTCTCAATTAAATATATTAAAAATGTAAGTATGAATAATTAACAATGTCTTTCTACCATTTATCAGTACCAAAATGAAATGAAATGGAGTTTTGCTGTCCTACAGTTCTTCTCCTACTGGGCTAATGAAGGCAGGCCTACACCATACAGTGTGCTATGATGGAAATTTCGTCTGGGCAGCGGCACTATGGCCTACTCTTATATTGAATTCCAACAGTCAACAGTTTTCTCTGGGTCCCCCTGTTTACTCCCACTGTTAAAGACCCCTACACGCAAGCGAATTAATGAAATAAAATTGGACCATATGTTAGTCCCAAAATCACCTAGTTTGTTAAACATAGAAAGATTATGTTTTAAATTCCATGGTTTGAAGAATGAAGAAATGAATATTGTTGGGTTTTTTTAATTGTTATAGAAAAGAATGGTACCTGGTTTAACATTAGATTGTGTTATAGAGTTTGAAGGAGATGAATGGAGATATTATTATGACTGTGTAAGAATTAACTGTCAGGTAAGAAAATTAGATTTAAACATTTTGAGTAGGACACCTTTTAGAAGGATTTCGATATAATCAGAATACAGTGAAATGAAATAAACCAGCCTGGAATTAAGGTGACTATCACAGATATTGTACAATATAGGATGAAAAGGTTAGAGCACCACACTACATACAAACAAAACCAATGACAATAAACATTATACAAATAATATTTATACAAATTGTGTGCTCAGACTGGTGCAGAAAAGTAAGACACAAACTAGAGCTGGCACGACTGATTAGTGATATATCGTTGAATCAATGTAATACGATTCACCTTCTTATGATTTGTGTATTGAATCGTGAGACGCTGAATCGGTGTATCTCATGTTTTTTTCTTGCTTCAGTAAGTAACCTGTCACTTTTAATTATCCACGTCACACATTATCCATAGGTATACAAACATTCTTAAAGCGAGAATTTCATATTTTCTAAAAAGTCAAAACATAATTATTTCTATGTCGTTTGCTCAATAGGTTGTCAACTCACTATTATATGATCATAGTTATCATTCTCACACTCAAAAATGTTTCACACCGGAAATAATAACACAATTACCTCCTAATTACCTCCCTTGTTTTTCTATTCCCTACCATGGGATAGCTATCTTTAAACGTTTGAATTTGAAGTTGAAAATTATATTTTTGCCAATTTCTCAACTGGCAATAGTGAATTATAGGATTAATAGGATTATTTTTTATCAAGGTAGGACTGTTTATACATAGCATTGATTTGAAGGCTTTAATTTAATACATTTTAAAAATATAACTTAAAAATATGAAATTGTAGCTTTAAATTGTTGTGGTCTTTATTTTGATCCACATCAATATCTTGATATAAAACATTCTTATTTCTTCGAGATCGACAGGACTAAAAATATCAATTATTCATTTATCCTATTGTTTTCTTGGTAAATATTGACCTGATTATGAATCATGATACGAATCGTATTGTAGTACCTGAATCATTTCATATATCTTCTATTTATTTGTACTTTATTTTCGTCTTGTGTTTTATTTTAGGGTGAAGAAAATTTAATGATACCCCTTCATGCTTACCCTGTTCTAAATTTAAAAGAATTTCCACAGAATTTTGTATTTCCCCCTGTTGCGGTTGGAGAGACGTGAGTAGAACTTCTAAACAAACAGCTTTATGGATTAATTCTTTAAATGACCTCTCTATTATTTAATAACAACGTTAATGATAAATATCCATCTAGTCAGCCTATTTATACATATTTTGGCTTACACCAAACTAATTAATAACGTTGTTATTAAATAATAGAGAAGTAGTTATATCCATATATACCTTGTATTGTGTTTTGTTATGGATAGCTTTATTGATAACATTCACTAGGTTTATTAACTGTAATGTTTCAATGTTTGATAACGGTGAGAATACCATCATTGAAACGTTACAGTTAATAACGTAGTGAATGTTATTAACTGTAATGTTTCAATGTTTGATAACGGTGAGAATACCATCATTGAAACGTTACAGTTAATAACGTAGTGAATGTTATCCATAAAGCTATTTGTATATCGCTTTCACTGAATGCCCTTTAAAGATATAAGTTCAAGTTTTTAATGAGATCAAGTTACTTTTTGATTTTAAACATAGGTACTAGTTTTCCGAAATAACTGGGTCTGGTTTAGATAATCGGGTAACACTAGTTCGGTATTTTTATCTGTATCTTGAAACACCCCCCCCCCCTCTCCCTACATCACAAGCCCTGTCTACAACGTTAGTCTTGACTGCAAATAAAAACAGTTTTTTTTCCATTGTTTATAGATATCAGTACCTATGAAACCTGTACCTGTCTACAACTCTTGGTCATGTGAACAACAGTCTCGGCTTCCAAAACTGCAAAATATGACCTTGAACTTTTGTCAAGGTTACCTGGGCCTTGTTTTAATGTATTTTGTTTGCAAACAATCAGATATAAATGTTTTTTTAATTTTATTTTGAAGAATGTCGCAGACGTTTCCATTAAAATGTGAAGTACCGGTAGATTTTGAGTATCAACTGGAATATATCCGACCACATCCATTTTTTACTGTTAAACCAATGTCAGGTAGGTTAAATTGTATTTTATGATCCTTCGTCTTTATGGCTGTGGTCTTTTACAAATATGGGGGTTGGGTGGCCGAAGGGTTTAGCATATGCGCGTTAGATCTAAAGGTTTATTGTTCAGTCAAGTGGCGTGGTTTGAGTCCCTGCTTATACAATGTCATGACAAGCAGTAGGGTCAGCTGTCCAACCTCATGAGTTTTCTCAGGATCCTTTCCTACGCGCAAGCGAATTATTGAAATATAACTGAACCATATGTTAGTCCCGAAATGACCTAGTTTGTGTTGAGTGGATGTTAAACCCCATTCCCTCTCTTTTACAAATATACTGGCAATGCTTTTAAGAACTTTAATGAAACTTCATCCAGATTTTTCAGCGTGGTTCTGCCTTGTACATGATGCAGGACAAAAGGCTTGTCAAGAAAAGACATATTGTCGTTCGGATGGGATGAAAAATGAGGTCCTGTGTACACAACGTGTGCGTAAAAGATCCCTTGGCAGTTGGAATTCAATATAAGAGTAGGCCATAGCGCTGCTGTCTGGGCAAAATTTGCTCTATAGAATACTGTATAGCATATGTCCGTCTTCATTAGCCCAGTCGAAGCAGAACAATAGGGCATTAAAGTTAAAACTCCATTTCATTTCATTTTTAAATGTAATATCGAACGTATATTTTTGCAAAAATCTGATTAAAATACAGATCTATATTCCGTTTCGTTTTTTTAATAATTTCGATGGCATACACTACATGCAGATCTGACCAGTTGTTTTGGGAGGTCGCGTCACAGGTCATACGAGCGGCTTTTGACCCTAAGACATCAGACATTTGATTAACCAATCAGGTTTGACGTTTCTAGTGGATTACCCACAGTTTCATGCAACACATGCCAAACACTTGCCGTAACAGACCGTTTTATTGGCTAATCCCTCACATCATCTAGAACACGACAATGATAACAACTCTTCCAGATCCTAGTCTAGTAAAGTGAAGTAAAACTAAATTTTGAACTATAAAAGACAAAATGAAATAGGATCTGCGTTTTGATCAGATTGATTTTGCAAAATCTTGTAAGGTCTGTAATTTCACAAAATATTATAACGTCCGTAGTTTCATAAAGTACGTTAAACCCTCATTTTATAATTTCATATTTTTGTGTGTTTTACAGGTTGTATTCCAGCCAATGGTACAACAGATATTGTTATCACGTTTTCTCCGTGTGAGTTTTTAACGGCACAGATGACCTTACAGCTGATTACATCACAGTTTAACTCTAAACCAATCATCTGTCAGTTTACAGGAACATCAGCACCTGGTTTGCTCAAGTAAGAAAATAAACATGGTGTCGTATTTCACCAAAATATTGTCTGTAGAAGTGTCAAGATGTTTTGTTTGTCATAGGAGGGTGCTGAATGGTTTAACTTCGCAACTGCTAGGTCTGTCCTCTGGTTTCCTCCTACTAATAAAGACTCCTACGCACAAGCAAATTATTGAAATTAAATTGAACCATATGATAGTCCCGAAATGACCTAGTTTGTTTTGCGTGGACGTTAAACCCCATTTCTCTCTCTTTTTTGTATTGATGTCAAGTAAACAGGTTTTTATTGATACTGTGTCAAAATGTCATTTGTTAGTGATTGTTGAACAAATACTGTGTAAAATAAGGGGGTTCTTGTTCCAAGCTACAGCTTTTCTCTGTAAAACATACCAACAAATAACAACAGGTTGTTTAGATGGAGCAAGCTGATTTGTTTTCTACAAATGTTTACGAAAAAGAACCCTTGCCAGTTGGAATTTGACCTAAGAGTAGGCCATAGCTTCACTCATAGCACACCACATTGCATGCAATGCCTGTCTTCATTTGAAAAGTAGGAAGTTAAACCCCATTTCATTTTTTCCTAGTTTTGTTGTTTGGCTGTTTCCTTTGTGCAAAAAATCTTTGAAAGTTCTTGTCCAGAGTAGAAAATATATTTTAATCTCTGTTACGGAAGAATGTACATGTATATACAAATTCTGTTGTGAAGTCAAACGATGAAATGAAGTTCCACATTCTTGAATTTACCTTTCCTGACTTTTCACAAACTTCCAAAGATTGTTCAACTGAATAATTTAATTGTTTTTATCTTTTTTTTTAAGGGAAAGAAGTAAAACTCAGTATTTATCACGAAAGAAAACAGATGTATTAGATCCACGATGTCTGTCCCCGTTAGATCGGGCTAGATCTAATAGACGAGCTTCTAAATTTAAAACAACAATAACACCACAACAACCACAGGTATGGTTCTTATTATCTTAAACAACAATAACACCACAACAACCACACGTATAGTTCTAATTATCTTAAACAACAATAACACCACAACAACCACATGTACAGTTCTAATTATCTAAAACAACAATAACACCACAACAACCACATGTACAGTTCTAATTATCTAAAACAACAATAACACCACAACCACGGGTATAGTTCTAATTATCTAAAACAACAATAATAACACCACAACCACATGTATAGTTCTTATAATAAACAATCTACAACGCTACATCTTCAAACACACATAAATTAGCTCAGAATAAACTAATTTGGATGGAAATTTTGAATATTTTCTTATTTCATTATCTATTTTCGAACTATTATAGCAAGAATGACTAGCTCTCTATCTAAATCTTACATAATGTATCTTTAATGGGATATATTAATATTTAACAACTGTCTTATTGTCACTCTTTATCATTAAATTACAGTTGTTGTATTTTTTGTCTCGTCTTTGGGATGGGATGAAAAACTGAGGTCTGTCTGTGACATTACGTAAAACAGCCCTTTGAATTTAAAGAAGAGTAAGCCGAAGACAAAATTTCCCTTATTGCACACAGTAAAATGAGTTCGAAGTTGCAAGCTATTATTAACAATATACATGTACATGTATGAACAAAAAGTGTTGAAATAGGCTAAAATACGATTTGTCAAATCTTAACTTTTACATTTCATGTTATGTCATTGAAAAGATATTTTTAACATTTGTTTTCATATTTAATGGGGTTTAATGTCTTAATATTTAGCTTTAACTGGCCTAATGAAGATGCACTTACGCCTAACAGCTGCGTTGCGGCCTACTCTTGTATTTTGTATGCCAATGTGTACACGGGACAGCAGTTTTTTCCCTCCCATTCGAATGACGATATATGTACGTTGTCCTTGCCAGACCCTCTGTCCTGCATCATGCCGATAAAAACTGGATGTACTTCCTCGACTAATGCAGGGATTGAACACGGGACCTCCAGATTAGCAAGCCAACGTCTTACCAACTGAGCCACCGTGGCTATCACTGTTCACATGTTGGTATAAATTATTATTATTATTATTACAGGAGATAGTTAAAGATGGTATAAAATTCCCTGTTATTATAAATACACCACATGCTGTAGCTCAAGTATTAAACCAACAACCAGGAAGATTAAAAGCTAAAGATGTCAGGGACAGTAAGTTGACAAATATTCTCTATGTTAGTCCCAATATAACATAGTTGTGTTGTATGGATGGGTGACTAAGGTCACTTTAAATCATAAGGTCTGTCATTGAGTCAAATGGTTGTGTTTTGATTCCTAGCTTGTATGTGACAAGTAGTAGGGCCTTCCTGTTCCTCTCTCCCTGTTACAAACCCCTAAACGAATTATTGAAATAAAATTGAACCATATGTTAGTCTCTAAATTGCTTAATTTGTGTTGAGTGGATATTAAACCCCATTTCTCTCTCTTATGTTACTCCCGATATAACATGGTTGTGTTGTGGGAAAGTTAAACTTCAATTACTTCATTCCTTTATCATACCCGATTCTAAAAATGACCAATCTCTCATTGAGTGGATGTTAAACCCCTTTTCCCCCTCCATTCTGCCACTCTCCTTGTCTCCCAGGGGGGTTGGATGGCCGAATGTTTAGCACGTGCGCTCTGTATCATAAGGTCTGTCATTAAGTCAACTGGCGTGGTTTTGATTCCCCGGTTGTACGTGTATGTGTCCAACCTCGTGCGTTTTCTCCTGTGTATACATTGGCGTGCACGTAAAAGATCCCTTGGCAGTTGGAATTCGATATAAGAATAGGCCATAGTGCCGCTACCCGGGCAAAATTTCCCTATAGCACACTGTATGTGGCGTATATCCATCTTCATTAACCCAGTCGGAGAAGAACAGTAGGACGTTAAACCTCCATTTAATTTCATTTCTATTTTTTTTAGCGATGTTATCACAGAAAGATAATAATAAACCATCAAGTCGTCAGATGAAGGAGGCGTTATTTGAACAAACGGTCAGGAAGAATGTTTACGAAGAAAGACAGAATCAGCTACGATGGCAGGTTAAACTCGGTGATAGCCAGTTACACCAATCAAACCGTGTTAAAATATTAGAAGAACGAGATAATGCCTGGAATTATTATATGGTAGGTTGTTAACTTTTATATTTGGAACACATAGTTTGCAGGCAGGGCTCACGCTGTCAGTCGCCACAGTCCCAATTTGCGATAAATATATGAATGTGGCGATTAAAATTTGATTTTGGCGATAAGGTTTTAGGGATTGTTGATTCTTTTTTTTTGAAGATAAGATATTCCAGTTGGTGGAAAAAAAATTGAAAGTGAGTCTTTAAAAACCAGTATTTATAAGAATCAGACAGTTAACCAAAATGTGGGGTGGGGGTGGGGGTGGGGGATATGACCCCTCCAGGTTTGTCTGAATTCTCTGTAGGTAATAAGTAGTCTGATGTTTCAAACTGGGAAAAGTTACTGGGTCTGAAAAGTTCTTATTATCACTTATAATAGACATGCAAAAGAATATAAATCGGGTGGTTTCACATCGACTTCTGGCACAAGGAAATATGACTCAGTGAAAATGGGGAATTTTGTTGATGTAAAATGATTAAACAAAAGAAATTAGTTCTAGAAACACAAGATTAAATGATACCTGGGTTACAGTGTTGTGTGCCAGAAGTCATCCTCTTTCACAACATCCATAAACACTTTGTAGTAATGTTATCTTTTCTTGATATCTTTTTTCCAGTTTACCAGAAGAGAAGATCCAATACCAGAAAATGAATATGAAAGGTTAAAAACTTGCGTTAAATTTAGACGAACAATGAGAAGAAACGACCAGGTAAATTAGGCTTCAATCATTTCTGTAGATGGCCATGAGGAGAGGTGAAGAGGTCAATGAACTTTGACCCTTTAGTAGATGAAATGGTACAAATGAAACATACACTGTCTACAGCTAGATCCACTTGAATCACTTGTGATGGGGGTTGGATAGTCGAGTGGTTAGCGTGTGCACGTTGTATCACAAGGTCTGTCATTGAGTCAGCTGGTGTGGTTTTGATTCCTCGGTTGTACGTAACAAGGAGTAGGGTCGGGTCGCCTGTCCAACCTTGTGGGTTTTCTCTGGGTCCTTTGGTTTCCTCCCACTGCTAAAGACCCCTACACACAATCATCATCATCATTAGGTATTTTTATATTTACAGTTAGCATATAAAGAGGCTACGTTTGATCTGTATAATAATGACATGTGGGCAGTACGACACGTGGCGTTAGAAAAATTTATTCAAGCAGCAAGAAAAGTTATTATTAGAAACCGTGGAGAAGTGAAATTAAAATCTTTACGTAAAGTAGTCATCGATTGGAGCAAGAAAAAATATACCATGGAACATCTCACACGTAAGTTACCTCAAAAATACACCTTGCACATGTAAGTTACCTTAAAAATACACCATGGAATATCTTACCCGTAAGTTACCTCAAAAATACACCATGGAATATCTTACCCGTAAGTTACCTCAAAAATACACCATGGAACATATGACACAAACGTTTTATTGCCACAGTTTTCACTTCTGATATGAGATATGTCTCGACCAGGGACATGTTCCCGAAGTGCTTCTCTTTGTGCTGTTGTTATATCCTAAATTCTAGCTTCAAGACAGCCCTAGTATAACAGCCGACCCCAAACAAACTGCCAAATAATAGTCACAAATATATAAATCATATATAATGGTAAAATACTTTTGACATTTTATCATCAGAAAAACATGCTTACTAATATTACTTAGTTCAATATTTAGTAAATTTTAAAACTAAGCAAATTTGAACTTTAGGGGTGTTTTCTAATGTTTTCTAGATGATCAACAAGATAAAATAGATGATGAGGAAGAAAAGGAAGATATACCCGTACAGTATGATATTTCATCTAATAAAATCAAACATGTTACATTTCCTACATTTATACCACCAGATGGTAAAGATGATATGGTAAGTGAATAGTCATTAAAACTCTCACCGATAGGGCTCTGTTTGTTTATTCTCAAGTTCTTATTGTTTGTTCTCATTTCTGTTTGCTCTCAACTTGCTATTGTTTTTTCTCAACTTGTTATATTGGTTGCTCTCAACCTGTCCCTGTTTGTTCTTGACTTGTTTTTGTTTGTTCTCAACTTTTTACTTTTTGTTCTCAACTTTTTACTTTTTGTTCTCAACTTGTTGCTGTTTGTTCTCAGTTGGTTACTGTTTGTTCTCAATGTTATTTGAATTTTATTTTATTATTGATTGTTCTCAATTAGTTACTGTTTGTTGTCAATTTGCTACTTAACCTGTTATTGTTTGTTGTCAATTTGTTACTGGTTTGTTGTCAATTTGTTACTGGTTCGTTTTCAATTTGTTACTATTTTAACTTAAATTGTTATATTTGTTTTACTTAGGCACCAGATGCTGTAGGGGTTGTACCGTTTATGCCAACCGATGTTATTGTGAAGAGAAAAGTTCCCTTCTTTAATCTCAAGGTAAGTGGGGTATACATCGAGGGTTTAGAACATAATTCATTAATTGTGATAAGTCACAATGCTTGATATATTGACTTATCACAATTATGTTCTAAACCCTCGATATACAATTCCCTAAACAGTTACGTCTTCCTGTTTTCTTTAAAGAATTTATTTTGGAACAGTAATTGCAATTTGCTCTTAATAAACAGGAAAAATGAAAGAGGTATTAATATTTAAATGTATTTGACTGGGGTTTCACTAAACATGGAGTCGTTTGACCACATCACAAGATAGACACAAAGAAAAAGAGATATTTCCTAGAACTAATAATTTTATCTTTAATTGCACATTGGCCTCTTGAGCAGGGTTAAAGCTTTAGCCATCTGTCCATTTTTATGTTGTTTTTTTTTTAGAATGATTATAAAATAAATGATAAGTATGTTTATGTGCTTTTTATCATTGTAATTATTGTGTTTTAATATTAAATTCTTTGAAATTCTAATTTTAAGACTGAAACATATGCCCTGGGTTTGAGGTCAATAACCCCAGATGGGGTGACAGTTAATTGAACCAGTCATCTGTTAACAGTGATATAAAAGATGGACTATAAACCTAAGTATTTTGTTGTATATTCATAGGTTGCACAGTGTTACCAGCTAAATGGTTATAAGCCTCACGATATACAGGCTTCATCTAGTGGTTTTATACCATCAAAACTTGTACGTCCACTTCGTTCTGGGGCGGAGGTAGGTGTCGGTTTGTTCTATTTATATAGCTACAACAAGGAATTTAATTTGAAAACAATTCAGTGTAAAATTTCATTTCAGAATAAGTCCATTATAATTGAAAAAATACTAAATTTCGATTTCCAGATCTGAAACATGTAAGTTTGTCAACATGTGGGAGTATTTTATCATTACTCCTGTCTTCCCGTCCAACCATGCATCCGTCTAAGGGAGCCATGGTGGCTCAGAGATTAAGGCCGTTGCTCACTAAGTGGGGGGTTTCCCCTTGTCAGCGGTGTAAGAAAGAGGGACTTGCCAGGAGAAGCGTCCAGTCATTGGGATGAAACGGAAAAACCCTGGACCATTGGAGTTTGAAATAATATAGATCCACTGTCCAGACACAATTTCCCTCATAGCACACTATATAACTTCCAGGATATTAGAAATCCTTCATATGAAGTTGTGGGGGGGGGGGGGATGACTGAATGGTTAGCTTGGCGCGCTGTATCGTAAGGTCTGTTATTGACTCAACTGGCATGGTTTCGATTGCTCGGTTGTACTTGACAAGGAGTAGTGAGGGTCACCTGTCCACCCTCATGGGTTTTCTCCTGGTCCTCCGGTTTCCTCCTCTCGGTCCTCCGGTTTCCTCCTCTCAGTCCTCCGGTTTCCTTGCACTGCTTAAGACCCCTACTAGCAGGTGAATTACTGAAATAAAGTTGACCGATATGTTAGTCCTGAAATGACCTGGTTTGTGTTAAGTGGACGTTAAACCCCATTTCTCTCTCTTTAAAATGAAGTTTAGAGATTTTTCATTTCAAATTGTTTAAATTTCATTTCTAAATTTCTGGGACCCATAGTTTTGGGCTTTAGCTGTGTTGTTCTATGTTTAAACTGTTTGAAAGAGAATGGTATTTGTAATGTGATTATGTATTCAAGTTGTTTGAATTTTGAATGTGATAATTTAAATATTAATTCAAGTTTTATTAAACTAAGAACAAGTGCGTTAGTAGCGATTAGGCCACAGGACTCTCGCCTAGATTGTCCAGCGTTCGAATGTCAATGTGAGCTGAGTAGGATCATGGTTAAGTCCGGCGTCAACTTGTCAGGGATAGCGCTGATAGGGCTGGCAAATAAAGTCTTGTCTAGTTGTTCGGATGAGACAAAAAAAGGTGTCCGTCAGTGTACATGTTGGCTTGCACTTAAAAGAACCCTTGACAGTGAAGATTGACAGAATTATATGTTAGTTTCATTGCATTTTTTTTTGTATGTGCATTCCAAACGCGTACATGGGCAGACCTTCTGTTTTTTTTATTCCATCTGAAGAGCTAGACAATACTTCCCTGTCAGTCCACATTGTCTAGTTGTTTAGATGGGGCAAAAAACTGAGGTTCTGTGTACACATCACACGCACGTAAAAGAACCCTTGAAATTAGGAATAGAATGAAGAGAGAGTAGGTCGTAGTGCCGCTGCCCAGGCCAGATTGTCCTCATACGACACTGCATGACTTATGCCTATCTTCATTAGCCCAGTCAGTACGGAAAAGTAGCACCATGAGTCCCATTTCTTTTCCTTCGTCAGTGGCATAAAATTATACATTAAAAATTCGAAAGTTTTCGAACCGGGACATATATAGTCGTGAGATGGATAGCCTACTGCTTGATAAAGATAATCAAGCTCTGCGTCTCTAGTATCACTCACTACCTCTTAACACAGCTCGAGAAAGTTGTAAATCCACCCCTCGTATATCTGATCTAGATGGACCATCTTAAACTTAAACAATAGGAACCCAATTTTTTTCGATAATTCTCAACAAATTTTAACAATTTGCCGACAATGGTTTAAAACTTAACATTAAATATTTTGAAATACAGTAACTCCGACTGAAACAACACAACTACACAATACCACCAAAATTGTAATATATTGTAAATGCATGTGCTCGTGTTTGAGCGTGAAAGTAGGAAATTAAACCCCTGTTCATTTCCGTTAACCACCGCACAAAATTATACATTTTAAAATTCCGAAGGGTTTGATTGAACCCGAAGCATATCTAGTCATGAGACGGGATTGGGATCACCTACTGCTCGCTAAAGATATTCAAAATTTGGGACGCTAGTACATGCAGCAATAGAAAACAACAGCAACCAGAAGAGGTGGAAAATGTTTTTCACTATAAATACCAAAGTAAGATAAAACTTGTTGGATGTTTATTTCATTTGTTTTACTTTATCCTTGTTCATAATTATTTCTGCATGTTGCATGTTTTTTTTTGTTTTGTTTTTTTGCGTTTGGTTTGAAAGGATGAGATGATTAATCTGCCAGTTCCCGATGTACAGATCACAGATATGGAAGTTCAAGTTGAAAATCACGTTGAAAATCAGGAATTACCAGAAACAGAAACAGAGGAACGGGAGACCACTGTGGAGGAATTAACAGGCATGGCTCCACCAAAAGCTTTATTCAATCCTGTCGAATATCCACCATTACATATCTTTGTAAGTAATTTGTTTATTTTGATCAGTTGCTTGGCCAAAGGGTGTCTAGTTGTATGTGAAAGAACCGGAAAATTCCTCTAGATTTTTCCAGCTTTGTTTCCCGCATGCCAGTGGCTGTCCAGGAACAGTTTCTAATCATTCGAATATTACAAAAAAAAAGAGGTTTTGTCGACACATTGGTGTGCACGGAAAAGAACCCTTGACGGTCGAATCCAAATAACAGTAGATTGTAGTGTCGCTGTCTGAACAAAATTCCATCATAGCACAATGCATGGTGTATGTCCATATTTATTGGCCCAGAGAAGGGACAATGGCCTCTCTGCTGGACTGCCCTGGCTTGGAACCCTGATGTCGGCTAGGAAAAATCTTCAGGGTTTTTCAAGCCCTGTGGAGACCGATAAGGAAGATGTGTCTAGTCTTTTAGATGGGACATAAAAAACCAATGTACATTATTTGGAGAACATATTGGCATGCAAGAAAAAGAAGCCTTGGCAGTTGGAAATCAAAAAAAAAAAAATTATGCAGAAACCCCTCTGTCATTGCATAACTCTGTAATCCTATAGGCTGTAACCCTCGTCAAAATGTCACTTATTATTAAACTCAGTAATTGTGTATCCATAAAATTGTACCTTGTGTTAATATGTTCAATTACTAAATGTCAATAAAGAAGAAGTTTTAATTACCATATGTTTTCCGGCATTATCATCTGTTTTACAGAATCCAGCTCCAGGTCTACAAGTATTCCATGCTCCCGCCCCATATTCAGAAACATCCTCCGATTTTCATCTTTGTCCATTACCCCGATATATCTGTAAAGATGCGATGAAGAGTCCCCATACTTCAACACAGAGAAAATATCTTGATAGAGAGGTCGGTTATTTACTACTTACTTCAAATTATTTTACTCCAAGATTGGTTTACACGTTATCCAATTTCATTAAAAGATGCATTATGTGAGATTTAGATAAGATCTGGTGATTCACATGGGTTTGGTATGTTAATAAATGTCCAAAGAATGCCAAAATAAAGACCAGCAATAGGCAGATTTATATAATGCATCTTTAAGATTTGTCTGGTTTTTATGGAGAGAATAAAAGGAAACAGAATAGACTATCTAATTTCACTATGTATATCATACTGGGTAAATTGAATCACATTATCATACTGGGTAAATTGATTCACATTATCATACTGGGTAAATTGATTCACATTATCATACTGGGTAAATTAAATCACATTATCATACTGGGTAAATTAAGTCACATTATCATACTGGGTAAATTGATTTGACATTATCATACTGGGTAAATGAAGTCACATTATCATACTGGGTAAATTGATTTGACAGTACACTGGGTAATGTGAGTCACATTATCATACTGGGTAAATTGATTTCACATTATCATACTGGGTAATGTGAGTCACATTATCATACTGGGTAAATTAAATCACATTATCATACTGGGTAAATTAAGTCACATTATCATACTGGGTAAATTGATTTGACAGTATACTGGGTAATTTGAATCATATTATCATACTGGGTAAATTGATTTCACATTATCTTACTGGGTAATGTGAGTCACATTATCATACTGGGTAAATTAAATCACATTATCATACTGGGTAAATTGATTTGACAGTATACTGGGTAATTTGAATCATATTATCATACTGGGTAAATTGATTTCACATTATCTTACTGGGTAATGTGAGTCACATTATCATACTGGGTAAATTAAATCACATTATCATACTGGGTAATGTGAGTCACATTATCATACTGGGTAAATTAAATCACATTATCATACTGGGTAAATTAAGTCACATTATCATACTGGGTAAATTGATTTGACAGTATACTGGGTAATTTGAATCATATTATCATACTGGGTAAATTGATTTCACATTTACTTACTGGGTAAATTAAATCACATTATCATACTGGGTAAATTAAATCACATTATCATACTGGGTAAATTAAATCACATTATCATACTGGGTAAATTGATTTCACATTATAATACTGGGTAAATTGATTTCATATTCTGGGTAATGGAGTAACCAATATTAGAAGGTATACCTTGCGTAGTTATTTGTGTGGAGGCTATAATTTTTATGTTGTAATATTTATTGTAGGATATTATACGAGGAACAATGACTTGGAAGAAATTTCCATCACAAGGTTTAACATCATTATCTAATACTCCAACATTAACTGGTGTATGGATACCTAGATGGTAAGTACATGCGTATATAGTGAGGACCTTATATATTATACCCATGTTATAGTGAGGACCTTATACTCATTACACCCATGTTATAGTGAGGACCTTATATATTACACCCATGTTATAGTGAGGACCTTCTATATCATACACTGATTACACTCATGTTATAGTGAGGACCTTATATATTACACCCATGTTATAGTGAGGACCTTATATATTACACCCATGTTATAGTGGGGACCTTACACTCATTACACCCATGTTATAGTGAGGACCGTATGTATTACACCCATGTTATCGTGAGGACCTTACACTCATTACACCCATGTTATAGTGAGGACCTTATATATTATACACTGATTACACCCATGTTATAGTGAGGATCTTATGTACGGTATTATACATTATAGACATCTATATGAGAACATTACATATAAACCAGGGATTTAGTGTGGGGAGCTGTATGCAGACATGTGTCTTTTAGCGTAAATGAACAGTGCAATATTAAAATGGTGTTTATCTTCCCACCGACTGGGATAATGAATGCAGGCATACACCATGCAGTGTACTATGGTGACAAATTTGCGTAAATGAACAGCATAATATTAAAAAGGTGTTTATAAAATTATCTTCCCACCGACTGGGATAATAAAGGCAGGCATACACCATGCAGTGTACTATGGGGACAAATTTGCCCGAACAGCAGCACTACCGGCTTACTCTTGTTTCTCTTTCAACTTTCAAATGATGTGCCTGTGTAATTTATTTATTATTTTATAGCAGAGTTCTTAATCCTTTTTCAAACGAACTGACCAGAACTGGAACAAATGAGGCCCCGATAGGAAATAGGTCAATTATAAGCTTCCATTCCCTTTAATATAATTCTTAGTAATTTGTTATGGAGAATGTCGTATTCTAATGTATGGGATTACCACAAAAGTAAAGAGAAATAGGTACACCTTTTGAAAATTTTACGTATTTAATTCAGGTACCACCTTGAAGTACATGTCGGTAATGTTTCTGTATAAATTTATAGGGATATAGGGATGATAGATTATTTATTATTTTACAGGGATGATAGTTTTGGTCCTGATATATTACCACACGATGTGCCGCCATTATTAGATTCTCTACCTGATGATGATAATGAACAAATAGCAGCCGAGTAAGTCACTTCTATTAATATTCAAAAGTATAACTGGTAGAGAAATTAAGAGCGGTTTCAGTTGAAAATAACATTTATTATCCAAAACTTTCTTATATTGGGAGACCTTGACCAATGAAATGGTTGGTATTGCCGTGCATTATCAAGGTTTCAAAATTATGTTTGGTTTTTCGCTACATGCTTGGGAAAACCACTTATATAGAATTAGAACTTTCAGGAGAACCTGCTTTTGGTTTGTAAAAAAATACTGGGGGCAGGGTTAAGGCCTGGATTATAAGGTCTGTCATTGAATCAAGCGGCGTGGTTTCGATTCCCTGCTTGTACGTGACAAGGAGTCGGGGCGCCTGTCCAACCTCAAGAGTTTTCCCCCGGGTCCTCCAGTTTCCACCCACTGCTAAAGTTCCCTACGAGCAAGCGAATTATTGAAATAAAATTGAACCATATGTTAATTCCGAAGTGACCTGGTGGACAATAAACACTCATTAAACACTCTTTTTATTCATTTGTAAAGTATTTTGAACTTTGTTTATTCACATACAACTTTTTATAACATTATCAAAAAAACGTAACTGAAGTAAGTTACTTACTCCACCATTTAGACAACTTTTATGTTCTCCCTTGTGCCTTTTACTGTGTTTTTGCGTGTATTATTCTATATGTTAAATTTGAATCATTGTTTTTTGGGGGGTGGATGGCTGAATCGTTAGCACATGTGTGCTGTATCAAAAGGTCTGTCATTGAGTCAACTGACATGGTTTCGATTCCCCGGTTGTACATGACAAGGAATAGGGTCGCCTGTCCGACCTCATGAGTTTTTCCGGGTCCCCTGGTTTCCTCCCACAGCCAAAGACCACTACGCACAAGCAAATTATTCAAATAAAATTGAACCATATGTTAGTCCCGAAATGACCTTGTTTTACCTTTTGTAAAGCGCCATCGAGCAGCTCTTAACTGGGTGTTAGGTGCTATATAAGTTAATTACATTATAAGTGTATGTGTGTATTTATAGTTTCCGGCGTGGTTCTCCCTTGTCAGTGATGCAGGATGGAGGGGCTGACAAGGAAAGCTGTCTAGTCGTTCGGATGGGACGAAAAACCGAGGTCCCGTGTACACATTGGCGTGCACGTAAAAGATCCCTTGGCAGTTGGAATTCGATATAAGAGTAGGCCGTCGTGCCGCTGCCCGGGCAAAATTTCCCTCATAGCACACTGTATGGCGTATGCCCGTCTTCATTAGCCCAGGTTAGGAGCAGAACAGTAGGACGTTAAACCCCATTTCATTTCATTTTCATTTCGTGTATTTATAGAGAGGAGAATGTGGAGAACAGTGAATTGAGATTAGGTGACGTTTATTTAACACCGGAAATGGTTGCGGCCCTATTTCCACCATTAGATGATACGTCGTCATCACACGAAGATATGAAAATAACCAGGTAGGTAGTCTCACACTTCCAGTAGGTAGTCTCATACTCTCACACATACCAGGTAGGTAGTCTCACACATACCAGGTAGGTAGTCTCACACATACTAGGTTGTTACAGATTACTATGGGGGTACTCAATTCAATGTTCCGGAATTGAATTCTCTCAACCCCAAAAATTGTGACAATCGAGTGAAAAGGGGTATTTTGGGCTACAACGCATGAGTCGATTGGATAACTAATATCTCAACCAACCATGCAGTCGAAAGACATTCGTTGTATTTAATTACGTCTCGATTCTACTCACACCACCTTCGTACTCCGGACTGACAGAACTGTGACAGGACTGAATTCTGCATCACTCGAATGTAATTCTGGATGTTCTGGACTGTGAATCGAATATCCCCTATGTGTGTATTTACATCAAGGGAGATGATTGATATTGAGATCAGAAAGACAACTTAAATTAGCAATTCCAAAAAGTAAGAAAAAGGCAATGACAAGAACATTTCAATATACCGCCTCTGTATTCTGGAATTAACTACCTCAAACTGTGAAACAAGCGTCTTCAAGTTTTATCTTCAGAAAGGAGTTAGTAAAACACTTAAATCTTTGAACCCTTGTTAATTACTGTTGTCCTCTGAATGTATGTTTATTTGTCCTTTTTTTTTCTTTCTTTGTTGTTTGTTTGTTTGATATTTCTTTATTATAGGCTTATATAATATGATATATATGCACTTTGTAAATATTATTACTGTGTAGTTACTAGTTTTATAGAGTAGCAGGGATATGTTGAAAATTAGAACTCATGTACTAAATATGTTCCCTCAGAAAATAAAGTCATTATTATTATTATTCAGATATATATCGGTCTGTAGTCCTATTACATTGAGACATCTTCTCTTAAATGTCTTTTATTCCATTTTCATTGACACACCAAGCTTTGCTAGACTGAATGGCATTTTCTCTGTCAAATTACAATTGATTTACAGCAACAACCAGTAAATTTCAATCAAAATAAATTCAATCTGATTAAAACACAGATCCTATTTTGTTTTGTTTTTTATAGTTCAAAATTTCGTTTTACTTGTGTTTACTACACTAGGATCTGGAAGAGTTGTTATCATTCACGTGTACTGGATGATGTGAGGGATTACCCAATGAAACGGTCTGTTACAGCGAAGTTTTGGCGTGTGGTGCATGGAACTGTGGGTAATCCACTAGAAACGTCAACGCTGATTGATTAATCAATGCCTGACTTCATAGGGTCTAAAGCCGCTGGTATGACCTCTGACGCGACCTATCACTACAACTGATCAGATCTTCGTAAACAAAACGAAATATAGATCTGTATTTTAATCGATTGAAAATAAATTAAAACGTGATAAATATTTTATTATTAAAAAGAAGTATGTGTCACATGTTTATGGACACAAATAGTGGGAAAACCCCACACAAAAACATCAGACTTCCTAGGTTAAACACAAAACAGCATTGATAACAGAAGTGTTGAGTGTAGATATATCAAATCAAACATATTATTGATATGTTCTCTCTACTGTTTATTGCAGGGAATGAATTGTTTGTTTATTTTAAAGAATATAATTAGTATTATTGTTTGTTTATGTAGTGAGATGTTTCCTGTTGGTAATAAAATGCCATCTACCAATATTCCTGTTGGCCCAACTGGTCCAGTTCCCAGGTAAATTATACAATATTATATTTTTACTAACGTTGCTATGGTTACGGAGTCTTATATTCTGTCTAGTCGTTCATATGGGACAAAAACCTGAGGTTCCTTGTATACCATAGAAATAAGAATAGACCCGTCTTCATTAGCCCAGTTGGAGCAGAACAGTAGGACGTTAAACCCCATTTCATTTCATTTCAAAAATAGAGGGATGGTGGATTGTCGAATGGTTAGCGTGTGCACGCTGTATCATCAGGTCTGTCATTGAGTCAACTGGCGTGGTTTCGATTCCCTGGTTATACATGACAAGGCGTTTGGTCGCCTGTCCAACCACGTGGGTTTTCTCCTGGCCCTCTGGTTTCCTGCCACTGCTAAAGACCCCTACGCCCAAGCGAATTATTGAAATAAAATTAAACTATGTGTTAGTACCGAAATGTCCTAGTTTGTATTGCATGGATGTTAAACCTCATTTCTCTCTCTTTCTCTTTCAAGAACAGACCCTAGGCAACCTTCAAGCCAAATTTCCCTCATAACCTCATTTCATTCAATGTATTCGACCCATCTGATGGATATAAAACTGTATGTCTGTGTATGGGTGTAAAGTCAAACCGTGGCTTCCGATAATGTCTGCTATCTGTGTGGTGTTGACAATAAAACTTAGTGGGCCCAAAACTGAACTTTGTGGTACACCAAAATTTAAATTACCCATTAGATGGTAGCAACATTCTAAACTAATTAGTATTATATGTTACTAGTTGAAATGAACTATTTTGTGTATTTTTACAAGAACTAGATTAAATAAAGTTTGATATGTTACTAGTTTAAATGAATTATTTTGTATATTTTTACAGAGAGAAGAGAGAATTAGAGTTGGAGTATTATATCACTAAGAAGTATAATCGTCTAGGAAGTAAAATACAGGCTAAAATAAACCACATGAATGTCATGTTGACAGATCCTAATCTTGTTCTCAAATAAATACATAGGCCTAATGTTATCCTAAATAAATACAGAAGCCTTTATATTGACTTTAAATAAATACATAGGCCTTAGTGTCATCATTAAATGGATATATAGACCTGAACCTTGTCCTTAAGAAAATACAAAGGCCCTAATCTGATCCTTATATACGTCCATAGGCCCTTACCACATCCTTAAATTGGTACTTGGTCCTAATCTTATTATTAAATAAATATATGGGCCCCAATGTCATCCCTAAATATATACAGACCATAATCTTTTCCTTAGATGATAAATAGGCCGTAATGTCATCCTTAAAAAATAAATAGACCCTTATATTATCCTTAAAATGATATATAGGTCCTAATCTGACCCTTACATAAATTCATAGGCCTTAACCTAATGCTTAAATAATGCATAGGCCTTTACCTGATGCTTAAATAATACATAGGCCCTATCTCCTATAAATGCGTAGAACCAAGAACCCTTGTACCTAGCCGTACCTGTATCTATTATAGTTCATTTGGGTTTAGTTTTGTCGGTCAACCCTCTAAAACTTCCATGTACCAGCATTCTGTAAGAGCATTACGTGTTTAATATGTGTGGATTTAAACTAGGCTTATAAATTGTTTTTTTCTTACCAAATATTTTTATCATGGACTGACAGCTAGGCCCAGTCTGATTATAATACAGATCTATATTTCGTTTCGTTTTTTTATACTTTTGGTGACCTACACTACATGAAGATCTGACATGTTGTACTGAAAGGTCGTGTCAGGTGTTATACGAGGAGCGGCTTTTGACCCTATGGCGTCAGACATTGATTAATCAATCAGCGTTGAGGTTTCTAGTCCTTTACCAACAGTTCCGTTAATCGCACGCCAAGATCTCGCCGTAACAGACTGTTTCATTGGCTTATCCCTCACATCATCCAGAAGGCCGGTAATATAACAGCTCTACCAGATCCCAATGTAGTAAAGATAATTAAATCGAAATTTTGAACTATAAAAAACGAAACGAAATAGGATCTGTGTTTTAATCAAATTGATATAAGAACCACTGAAGAAACAGGCTACATTAATATAACTTACTTGTGATCAGATAAAGTATGAAGTGTTATGGAGCCTTTATTTATCATTTTACTTCTGTATATGATATTCGTTATTGTATTCACGCTAAAGAGTAGTCGACTGGAGGCCCTCTATAGCTCTGTTTATAATCGGACCCTAGCTGCGTTCAGGAAGAAAAGTAGAATACCCGGATGTAGAATGAGTTATCTGTTCCTGATGTATGGATAATGTTTTTAACTCAATATGTTTATAATGAATATATATATATAGCCCTATATTGTGAGTTGTATTTATGGGTTGTGTCGGACTGAATCTGTGATAGAATTATAATGTTCAATTATTCATAGATAATTTCACACATATTCAATATCTTGTTGGTCTATTTCTTTATCAGTATCTGATTGGCTTAATCCACTGTTGCCCTTGACAACGAATCTCGTCAGGTAATTAATTGCCTAGCTAATTCATTATCTGATCTTGGAGAAATCTGATTGGGCGAAAACTATTGTCGCCTTTGCCAACGAATCTCTTCGTTGGCTAAAGTAGTGGTCAGGGGTCAGTTAGACACTGACTTGGTCGCGTGACACATGATATTAAATAAATTGTGATCCTACCATAATTTGCGATGTGAACTTTGACCTGTTTTATGTGTGTATTGTATAAACCTTGTAATATTTTGTATATAAGTCAATATTTATATCGTGTGTCCTATACCTGCTTGTATATATATATATATATATATATATATTTTGATATAAATTATAATATATCTGTGATTCGTTCGTCCATGTTGTTTGTTGGTAACCTAACAACGGGTTGCATCCAATTAACCTGCAAAAGGGAAACAAACTAATTATCAGAGATGGGAATAAGTCGAGGGACGTCGAGCCCTAAGTCGCTGACTTTAATACAGAGTTGGATCGAGTCCCAAGTCGCTGACTTTAGTACCGAGTCTAGTACCAATCCCATTCAAGTCGCCAATTCATCAGATGGGTCAGCAATTCATTTTGCAATACAGTGGTTCCATGGCGAATAAGGAAAGTTAGAGTTATGCCTCCTTACATTGAAAAGAGAGTTGTCACGACTGCCTAGTCCGAGCTTTGAGTCGTGATAAATATTTCAAGTCCTTTCTTAAGTCGGACTCCGAGTACGAGTCGCGGGTCTCGAGTTCCCAACTAAAACATAATAATACAGGACCTGTATAATGTGCAATGGACCTTAATCTCCCTCCAGGGACAAAGTTAAAATTAGACTGATATGCAGTGCGAGAGAAAGGGACCTTTGGATCTCCAACAATTACTTTCAGAGTAATGGACCTTAATCACTTTGATAAATCTCCTGGACTGTCCAGTTCCTGGCCCAAAACCCCCCCAACATGCTGCTGGTAGGCAAAGGTAAAATTAAACCTGTTGTTCATACTAAACGTACGCTGTCTGTCTACAGTAAGCTCCGCTTGAGAACAGACACTAAACAAATTGGTCGACATTTTAAGTTATAAAACAGTATACTAATTGAATATGGTAGCCATTGAAGGCAGAGATCTATTAACGAAGTATGAAGTAGATGTACCTCTGTATACAGAATGCATGTTGCTGGTTGGTAACAGATAATAACCAAGCACAAATTGCTTCTACTTTAAAAGTCATATTGCGTACAAGCTCTGGCATAGTGGAATAGCATTGATTGAACTATCTCCCAACACATTACACTGAAGTGAATAAGCAAGCACTTTAAGAGATACAAGTTCCAGTATATTCTGCTTTATATAAACGACAAACACTGAAGCCAATAAGATATCATGTTCCTGAAGCAACGACTGCGAGTTTTACAACATTTGGACGTTCCTAGATTACTTCACAATTCCCGAACTTATAGCTATGTTAACTATAGACGCGTGAGCAGTAGCGTCCAATCAGAAGTTGTGGCATCTTGACCTCCACGAAAGCCTTGACATTGAAAGAACCTTGAACTTTGCAACTCGATTATCACAGGTAGACATTTTAGCATGAAAGCGCGAGACTTGGTATTCGCGACCACCGAGGAATCTGATGGGTTCACAAGCTGGACTTGTGCCCAATCGAAATTAGTGCTGAAATATGCAGTGTATTACGTGAAGGCCTTGATAAGATGTACGTAGTTAAAACGACAAACACTGAAGCCAATAAGATATAAATATTTCTATATTTATTTTATTAATGATATTTATTAGTTTTATTAAATAAAGATAAACATGTACAGGTGTATTTACAGGGAAGAATAAAAATTACCGGAACATTATCATTATACATGTATCTTCTATCACTGTTCTTTCTACGAACAGTGGGGTTGGATGGTCGAATGGGTATCACGTATCATACGGTCTGTCATTCAGTCAACTGGCGTGGTTTCGATTTCCCGGTTGTACGTGACAAGGAGTAGAGTCGCCTGTCCATATCGTGGGTTTTCTCCGCGTCCCCCGGTTTCCCGCTAATGCTAAAGACCCCTACAAGCAAGCGAATTATTGAAATAAAATTGAACCATATGTTAGTCCCGAAATGACCTAGATTGTGAAACCAATCTGATTAAAACACGGATCCAATTTCGTTTCGCTTTTTACAGTTAAAAATTTCGTTTTACTTGTCTTTACTACACTAGGATCTGGAAGAGTTCTTATATTACCGGCGTTTTGGTTGAAGTGTGGGATTAGCCAATGAAACGGTCTGTCACGACGACTTCTTGGCGTGCCATGTACAGAACTGTGGGTAAACCACTAGAAACGTCAACGCTGATTCATTAATCAATGCCTGACGTCATAGGTCAAAAGCCGCTCGTACGACCCCTGACACGACATTCGTGTACAACTTGTCAGATATTCATGTAGTGTAGGCCATCGAAAGTGAGGCTGATGTCCCCCGCCGAAATCCAAAAATAAATAGATGACACATATTTATTAATCGCACATTTATTTTTTTCAAAAGTATCGAGCAATCAAACTATACACTAAGTTTCAGCACTCTCCATCAGATTGAATCAAAGTTATCTTGTCCCAAAGCATCGACTAATGTAAATCATTGAACTCAGCCATGACATGACAGCAGAGAATATTCATTATCGAACTAAGTCAAGGTATTGATGTAATAAAGCTATACACCAAGTGTCCTCACTCTCACTTAATTCGAACTAAAGTTATCGTGTCCCAAAGCATCAACCAATCAAATTGCTTATCCCTGCTTACCCTAAGCAGAAAATTCTAATCTTCAATCTCCATCAAGGCATTCACCTATCAGACACCTACGCCAAGTGTGAACATTCTAACTCAACTAGAATGAGAGTTATTGTGTTCCAAAATCTTGACCAATCAAATTGCTTATCTCTGCTTAACCTAAGCACAAAATGCTCATGTTCGAACTCCATCAAGACATTGACCTAATTAACACCTACACCAAGTTTGAACATTCTACCTCAATTAGAAGGGGAGTTATTGTGTTCCAAAGTCTCGGCCAATCAAATTGCTTATCGCTCTGCTTACCCTCAGCAGAAAATGCTCATTATCGAACTTAGTCAAGGTATTGATGTAATGAAGCTATACACCAAGTTTCATCACTCTCACTTAATTAGAACTAAAGTTATCGTGTCCCAAAGCATCAACCAATCAAATTGCTTATCTCTGCTTACACTAAGCAGAAAATGCTCATCTTTGAACTCCATCAAGGCATTGACCTAATAAACACCTACACCAAGTTTGAACATTCTGGCTCAGTTAGAGAGAGTTATTGTGTCCCAAAAAGTGTGACGGACGGACAGACACACCGATTTTAATAGTCCCCTGCTTTCTTCGAAAGGCGGGGGACAAAAATACAAATATTATATAATAAAGAAGTTAAATAACATTTGCAGGAAAACGGAATATGAAAATCGATTCCCTCCTTCCACTACTTATTTATGAGGGCTATCCAGTTATATATCAGCTAAATTGCGATAAAATAATATTTTATATCAATAACAAGGTATTACTGTAATGAAACTATACACCAAGTTTCATCAATCTCACTTAATTAGAACTAAAGTTATCGTGTCCCAAAGCATCAACCAATCAAATTGCTTATCTCTGCTTACCCTAAGCGGAAAATGCTCATCTTCGAACTCCATCAAGGCATTGACCTAATCAACACATACACCAAGTTTGAACATTCTAGCTCAATTAGGAAGAGAGTTATCGTGCCCCAAAGTATCAACCAATCAAATTGCTTATCTCTGCTTACCCTAAGCGGAAAATGCTCATCTTCGAACTCCATCAAGGCATTGACCTAATAAACACATACACCAAGTTTGAACATTCTAGCTCAATTAAAAGTTATCGTGTCCCAAAGCATCAACCAATCAAATTGCTTATCTCTGCTTACCCTAAGCGGAAAATGCTCATCTTCGAACTCCATCAAGGCATTGACCTAATCAACACATACACCAAGTTTGAACATTCTAGCCCAATTAGGAAGAGAGTTATCGTGTCCCAAAGCATCAACCAATCAAATTGCTTATCTCTGCTTACCCTAAGCGGAAAATGCTCATCTTCGAACTCCATCAAGGCATTGACCTAATAAACACATACACCAAGTTTGAACATTCTAGCTCAATTAGGAAGAGAGTTATTGTGTCCCAAAAAGTGTGACGGACAGACAGACGGACAGACAGACAGACAGACAGACGGACGAACCCATTTTAATAGTCCCCTGCTTTCTTCGAAAGGCGGGGGACAAAAAAAAAGAAACAAGATATAGATCTATTAATCCGATTGTCCTGAAACACGTGTCATATATCACTCACACCTGATACAAAACAGATCTATTGTATCACGAACGTGTCATATATCACCGACACATTAACAGATTCATTATATCATGAATCACTTGTCATATATCACCAACATCTGATACATAACAAATCCTTTATATCTGTCCACAATACACGATGGAGGGGAGAAATTACTACCTTGTTGTAATAATAATCCTCTATTTATATAGCGCGATAATACCAAAAATAAAGTTTCTATACCGCTTTTCAACTTTTCTCTATTGAACTACATAAACGCTTCTGTAAACAGGAACGTCTTTAGCTGCATCTAGGGGGTCAATGGTTCTAATGTTGTAAAGCAGCGAATTCCATAAGAGAGTAGCAGAGAACGAGAAAGATCATTTTGCTATTTCAAGATTCACTGATGTTTGATACAGAAGTTGTTTATCTGTGGATCTAGATCTATACCTTGTATACAACTCATTTGTCACCGACACCTGATAATTAAAACAGACAATAAAATGTTTAATAATAACACAGCCTGTTGGGCCGGATGTTTAGTCGTAAAGTTACACAAGTCTTCGTTGTCACAGCACGATCGCAATGAACAGCCATCAATTTGATAAATTCTAGGATTGGCCATACATTGTTTAAACTGGTCCATTCCAAGTGATACACATTTCCCCATAGAACACGACCTGGTGACACTTTCAAAGAGTCTGGACGTGTTGTCATGCATTCTGTAATATACTTTCTGAAACAGAAAACATTATGGAGTATTAAATACGAGACAACAAAATGAAATGAAATGAAATGGGGTTTCACGTCCTACTGTTCTGCTCCGACTGGGCTAATGAAGACGGGCATGCGCCATACAGTGTGCTATGAGGGCAATTTTGACCGGGCAGCGGCACTACGACCTACTCATATCGAATTCCAACTGCTAAGGCATCTTTTACGTGCACGCTAATGTATACACGGGTCCTCGGTTTTTCGTCCCATCCGAACGACAAGACACTTGTCCTCGTCAGGCCCTCTGTCCTGCACCACTGACAAGGTGACGCCGCGCCAGAAAATCACGATGAACTTTCTCGGCCAATGCAGGGATCGAACGAACACGCGACCTCCAGACTAGCGAGCCAGCGTCTTACCCACTCAGCCACCGTGGTTCCCCAACTGGGCTAATGAAGACGGGCATACGCCATACAGTGTACTATGAGGGAAATTTGGCCCGGAGAGCGGCGGTACGGCCTACTCATATCGAATTCCAACTGCCAAGGACATCTGTCTTTGCCAGTCCTCCACCGACAACAAATAAACACAAATATGTCATAAATCTTAGACATGGACGAGGGAGTCACCGTAGCTAAATGAATAAGACGCTGGTTCGCTAACCTGAAGGTCGCGGGTTCGTTCCCGGTGCTGACCGGGAGGGAAAGTTCATCGGGATTTTCCGGCTTGGTTTCCTCTTTTCAGTGGTGCAGGACCGAGGGAGGGCCTGACAAGGACAATTGTCTAGTCATTCGGATGGGACTAAAACCTGAGGTCCCGTGTAGACATTGGCGTGCACGTAAAAGATCTCTTGACAGATGGAATTATATTTAAGAATTCGGAGCAGATACATTTAGTAATACGTTAAACCCAATTTCATTTCAATTTATTTTATAAAATTAACGAAGCCGTGTTGAATCAGTGAGTAGGATACAGAATCACATACCAAGGAGGTCCGCGTTCGATCCCGCCGTTGGCCAAGTTTCAGGGAATTCACCAGTCTGGTTCTGGTTTTCACTTGTTAATAGCATATAGGACTAAGAGTCTGGTATGGGCCACGGTTTGACATAATATGTCCATCTTCATTATTCCGGTTGGTACAGAAAAGCGAGACGCTAAATCCAGTTCAATCTATTTTAATTAACCAGCACTGCCAGAACAGAATCCTACTAATTACAATGTAAAATCTGCCGTTTCTTTTCATTGTTCGGAAACCGTATCTGTAATCAGCACTGCCAGAACAGAATCCTACCAATTACAATGTAAAATCTGCACTTTCTTTTCATTGATCGGAGGAAAGCGTGTCTTTAACTTTTGGTTCGAAATTAGAAATTGATTTCTTCACATCGTAAAAACGTCCCTGACAAATGAATTACTATTTTTGTGGAAATTGTTGACGTTAAAATCGATTATTCCCAGTCGGCAGTATAATATATTATTTTAATTGGTTTCCAAGTTTTTTTTATATCAAAGAAAAGATGTAATATCACCTCACCATGCTCGATGTGATCCTCGTCCTAAAACAATACTAATCTTAGTCATACTCGCCTTATCCTTATCCTAATACAAAATTAATCTTTGTTATGTTGACACGTGTCTCTATAAATATTCCTCCCTTTTTTAAGTTAGAGAGAGAGGGGGGGTTAACGTCCACTCGACACAAACTAGGTCATTTCTGGTCTAACATATGTTTCAATTTTATTTCATTAATTCGCTTGCGCGTAGGGATCTTTAGCAGTGGGAGGAAACCGGAGGACCCAGAGAAAACCCACGAGGTTGGACAGGCAACCCTACTCCTTGTTACGTACAACCGGGGAATCGAAACCACGCCAGGCATGGACCATGATGACTCGGCGAGTAAAGCACAGATTCACTAACCAGGGAGTCCCGGGTTCTCTCCCGGTGTTGGTCGGGAAAGTTCCTCGGGATTTTAGTTCGCTGTTTCCCCTTGTCAATAGTTCAGGACCGACGGAGTGGTGGGGACCTGTGTCTGTTTGTTCGGATGGGAAGAAAAATGAGGTGCCGTGTACATGTCGACGTGTACGTTAAGGAAAATCTGACAGTTAAAAGAGCCGTTTCACTTGAAGGCTCTGGTGTTGGTCGGCGAGGTTGTTCGAGATTTTCCACCGCGGTCCTCCCCCCCCCCCTTTGCTAGTGGTGTGGGACGGTCGAATAGTGTATAGTTGGTCGAAAGGGACGACAACACCAGGTCCTATGTACGGAGCAAGACAGTAGGACGTTAAACCACAGTTTATTTCATTAGGCTAGCCCCCGTCTTCGTTAGTCCAATCGGTGCAGAACAGTAGGACGTTAAACCCCCATTCTTTTCATTAGGCTACTCGATGCAGGCACATTAAACAAGAGATGCCTCCAACAAATAAATCCTAAGGGTATAATTAATTACTAAGCTAAAACACGAATGATAATAATATAATTTTGAACCCATCTGGTATTCCCGTTAATTAAGCCATATTCCATTTCGTTAGATACACAGGTTGCTATATCAACCAATATCTCCCCATATAACAACAGGTTTATTATAACATCATAATTTAGTAGTCTACGTCAGAATCAAATAAACAACTAACAACCGTTGTCGAAATCCGACATTTTGTTTGGTCGAACCGGAAATTATGCGATGAATTATTTGTTTCCACATCCATAGACACCCTATTAATTCACAATAATGGCCATTTAATATTTGACTACGGACCAGACTGTAGGAGTAATATTTCAAACCTGTTCATCAATATTATTGATTTGATTTCGCTGACTTTACAAGAGCAGACTTGGAAGTTTAAACAGAGATAAAGAATGGGTGAACTCCTGGGCATGGTGACCCATAATTTTGTATGAGGAACAGGATCCCGTCCGGGTCCCCAAAACAATATTTATATGTGTGTGCGAATGGGCGGGGAAGTGGGAGGGACCCTCACAGTGCCACCAGTTAATATTGGGCTGTGTGGAACATTCTAGGGTCGATGTGTAGCATATCTGACCAACGGTATATGTTTGACACTGGTTAAGCATTTGATTATGATTATAATGTTAAAAACCACGTTGAAACCGCATGTTTTTTTTACCATTTGCAAGGGGGCACAAAAACTCAAACACCATGACGTAAAACGCGTCATTGCGTCCCTCTCACTTAGCCCCTGTTTGAACTTCACGGACAACGATTTATCAAATGATTTCTGTCAGGGTATGTCGTAAATGTAATGTTAGTAATGTATGCGTAATAACCGAAGCTATTGATGGTACTACGACCTGTTGATGATAGTTGCACGAGGATTGAATAAAATGTCTTAACTGAGAAGATATGTTTGTTGTACTAGAATATGGTCTGACAGGAAGTGACGTTATTAAAGTACCTACCATACCTGATTTTACGGTTTGACAGGAAGTGACGTTATTAAAGTACCTATCATACCTACAAACTGCACGCAGCGATCCATCTACGTCAGACGTCATTATGATCACTGCTCCATTTAGCCGCCATTTAAAACGCTCACGTGATCATTTTGGGGCGGAACTTATCGACCGGACCACAGCTTTGTGTACACAACAGAGTAAAAATAACCCGATCACGCACGTGTTTTATGTAAACACATGTCTTCAGCAAAATGTCAACTTCTGCCAATCCGGTAAAAGCGATATATAATATGTGCTAGTGGCTAAAATTGTAATACATTCTTTGTCATTGTAACTGTCTTTAGAGTTTCAATCTATTTATCTTTCAAAACAAGGTTAGATACTCCTAAATTTGTCTTCGCAAACAAAACCGCCTCTGTGAAATTATCTTTTGTGGGCGCCGCCATATTGAATAATTAGAGGACTATTTTGTGATTCGGATTTGATTAGTTTGACATCTTTCATACACACAGCGGCTAAATAAACATATTTAATTACATTCAATATGACAATAGAAGAGAAATAAATACTTCTAAAAATTACTAAAAGCATACTCAGTGTTTTCGACTAAAATCGTCGATGTAGGAATTAAAATGTCGGGTAATTAGCTTAGGGTCTGTTCTCAGGCGGAGCTAGCTGTAGACAGGCAGCCTAAGTTTGGGATGCCATACCTGATTCTATGGTCTGACAGGAAGTGACGTCATTAAAGTACCTACCATACATGATTCACTAGGTTGACAGGATGTTTTACTAACTCTATAATCTCCAACAGGATTATCTCGACACCATTCACCAATACACTTCCAACATTCTAATCCAGTACAATACATTATACTACCTGCAACAATATTACAATAAATTATACTACCTGCAACAATATTACAATAAATTAACTACCTGCAACAATATTACAATACATTATACTACCTGGAACAATATTACAATAAATTAACTCTCTAGACCATCGGGTGGTTGTGATTTTCAACGGGTTTAAACACGATCACCATTTAATAATTTAAATCAAAAATGGATAATCGAGACTTTGTTTATTATCATAACAACGTTTGCATCGATAATCGGGACTACATTGTTCTCCAAACAGGTGGGTCACGGTGGCTAACCATATGTTAGTCCCGAAATGACCTAGTTTGTGTCGAGTGGACTTTAAACCCCATTTCTCTCTCTCTCCAATCTGATTAATTCGTTTCGTTTTTTATAGTTCAAAAATTCGTTTTACTTGTCTTTTCTACACTAGGATCTGGAAGAGTTGTTATATTACCGGCGTTCTGGCTGAAGTGAGGGATTGACCAATGAAACAGTCTCTTACGGCGAGTTCTTGGCATGCAATGCACGGAACTGTTGGTAAACCACTAGAAACTTCAACGCTGATTGATTAATCAATGTCTGACGTCATAGGGTAAAAAAAACGTTCGTACGACCATTGACGTGACCTTCCAGTACAACAGGTCAGATCTTCATGTAGTGTAGGCCATCGAAAGTATAAAAAAAAACTAAACGAAATATAGATCTGTATTTTAATCAGATTGTGTTCTGGATATTGAACATGTTGGATATTTTGTCGTTGAGCCATCTGCATATTGGATATACGGTGGTTTTTGTTTTTGACTGAACGGTTAAGCAAGTTGGACGTTATGCTTTCGGACCATTTAGAAGAACATTGAGCTTAAATATATGCTCGATATCGTTACGAATGGCTCACACTGATAAGGATGACATCGATGCGACTTAATGAGTCCCAAATATTAACTTTTTTCCTCCGTCAAATTAAAATCTAAAACATTTTTTTCATTTATTAGAAAAATAAATAAAAACGTTTGAATTATTTGTAGGTAAAAATCATTTCCTATTTAGTGTAAATGGGTATTAAAATAAGTAAAATTCACCATTTAGCCCGAATCAGTAACGTCTTATGTAAACAATGCACGCGCTATTTAGCCTGTGATTGACGCCGCTTGATGTGACGTCACGTGTCGAAACAGTCAACTGTTACAGAGATATTAGAAGATCTCTGTGAAACAGAATGCGAATGGCCATGCCGCAGAGTGGGGTATTTTCTTTAATATTTCGGGCGGCCCAGTAAAAAAACGAGTACACTATTTAAAGAGGGATAAGTATTATATCAGTGTCATTTTAAATTAATAAACACGTTAATATCGTTTAAAAAGTATTTATTCAGAAATTCGTATATACAAACATGGAGGGAATAATATGAATAAATTGGATACAGTAACAAGAAACTTAATGCTTATATAAAACTGCTTCCAGAAGCCGCTCGTACGTTAATATCAATGTTTGACAAACCAACTCCAAATCAAATTACAAGTCAATCGCTCAGATAGTATTAACATAGTACAAATTTTAAAAAGAATGTCAGATCAATTTTTTTCTGGACTGAGAGTCATATTACACTCACTTTACGGTTTCGAATCCCCGGTTGTACGTTGCAAGGAGTAGGGTCGCCTGTCCAACCTCGTGGGTTTTCTCCGGGTCCTCCGGTTTCCTCCCACTGCTAAAGACCCCTACGCGCAAGCGAATTATTGAAATAAAATTAAACCATATGTTAGTCCCGAAATGACCTTGTTTGTGTCGAGTGGACGTTAAACCCCATTTCTCTCTCTCTCTCTCTCTCTCACACACACACACACACTCACTTTACAGGTTACATAAACAAATGGTCAATACACGTAAAAGATCCCTTGGGAGATGGAATTCGATATAAGAGTAGGCCGTAGCGCCGCCATCCAAAAACAATTTGTATTTTCTGAGGTATAATTTAAATTCTCTGTTGTACAAACCTCTTTTGTACTGAAAACATCATAGTATGACTGGAACAGAGAGAAATGTGGTTTAACGTCCACTCGACACATTTCGGGACCAACATATGGTTCAATTTCATTTTAACAATTCGAATCGGGGCGAAGGGATATTTAGCTGTGGGGGGAAACCGTAAGGACTCTGAGAAAAAAACCCGAGGTTTAACAGGCGACCCGACCCTACTCCTTGTCTCGCACACCTACGCCACTTGATTCAATGACAGACCTACTGGTCTAACTCGTACGTCTTGAACCATTCGACCACCCACCATCCCCACTATGATGGAGAGAGAGCGAGAAATGGGGTTTAACGTCCATTCGACACAAACTAGGTTATTTCGGGACTAACATATGGTTTAATTTTATTTTAATAATTCGCTTGCGCGTAGGGGTCTTAAGTGACAGACCTACTGGTCAAACTCGTACGTCGTTGAACCATTCGACCACCCACCACCCCTACTATCATGGAATACGTCTGCCTATTACCATAATAAAGCTATTATTCCTGTTGATGTACGAGACATATAACAAGGATAGATTGATGTAAAGATAATTGTACAATTACATGAAACCATCAGGGATATTTAAACTCCATACTGACAGAGAAACAAAATATCATGCCTCATTTGGTTTTCAATAGATCTTGTTTGTATTAGCAACACACAATCAATCATATAATTACTCTAAGGTCCAATACGGATCGCCATAAAACTAATCCCAGTCTGATTAAAATACTGATCTAATACTTGCAATGACCTATACTACATGAAGAATTCTCCTTATGTATATATATTTATATGTCTACTATTTCCTTTTATCGTATTTGTTAAATCACTGCTGTATATAATTATATTTTGTAACTATGGGTCCTAGACCTACTTACTGGAATAAACTATTTATTTATTTATTTATTTTACTACATGAAGATCTGACAAGTTGAGTGGGAGGTCACGTCAGGGGTCAAACGAGCGGCTTTTGACCCTATGACGACAGATATTGATTAATCAATCAGCGTTGACGTTTCTAGTGGTTTACCCACAGTTCCGTGCATCGCACGCTAAGGACTCGTCGTAACAGACCGGTTCCCTCACATCAACCAGAACGTGGGTTATATAACAACTCTTCCAGACCCTAGTGTAGTAAGGATAAGTAAAACGAAAGATTGAACTATAAAAAACGATCAGTGTTTTAATCAAACAAATATTATAGAACTATATAAACAATTACTGGTTTAATGTTTGTATAAATTTATCTATGCTATGGTAATTAATAATTACGGAGGGCCTGACAAGGACAGCTGTCTAGTCTTTCGGATGGGACGAAAACCGAGGTGCCGTGTAAACACTGGCGTGCACGTAAAAGATCCCTTGACACTTGTAATTCGATATAAGAGTAGGCCGTAGTACCGCTGTTCGGGTAAAATTTCCCTCATAGCACTCTGTATGGCGAATGCCCATCTTCATTAGCCCAGTTGTGAGCAGAACAGTAGGACGATTAAACCCCAGTTCACTTCTTTTCATTACATAGATAGAGACGAGTGTCATGGTGATTGTTATATTACACAGAGACACGTGTTATAATATGGTGATTGTTATATTACACAGAGACACGTGTTATAATATGGTGATTGTTATATTACACAGAGACATGTGTTATAATATGGTGATTGTTATATTACATAGAGACACGTGTTATAATATGGTGATTGTTATATTACATAGAGACACGTGTCATGGTGATTGTTATATTACATAGATAAAGACGCGTGTCACAAAACATTAATTAGTGTAATAGCACGTGGCCCAAGCGAATTATTGAGATAAAGTTGAGCCATACGTTAGTCCCGAAATGTTCATCGGATATCACCATATTCCCATTATATGTTAAACATCCCCAGCTTGAATCATGTCGTGATATAGAGCTTAGTTCATGTAAGACAACACGTCATCGTATTATTCTAACCTGTTGGCTGATCCTTGACATACACGAATGATTGATATCAGTCCGCCATATTGACAGAAGGTCATATCAATATCCCAGAATACATCACGACATGGTGCCAACTGATGACGTATTTGTCTGTTACATAACGAGTAACCGACTCCTTGTACAGATTGGTCTGTAACCGTATCCTTTGTACAGTATGAATGAAACTGTATCCCTGTCGTGAGATATCTGTTATAACTTCCGTTGTCAATTTACTTAAACTGGCATTATGCAAGAGCTAAATCTCCTTATTGTAGATCTTTCTTTAGGCCTTAAATGTTATATAAACTATTAATGAGACATTTATTAACATGACAAGACCATAATCAAGTTTCGATGCTATGGACAGTTCCGATTTAAAGTCGATTAGAATGGTTGATGAAGCGAGACTAAGCTTCGAACATCCAGTACGGTGGTTACAATCAGTGCACACACCTTGCCAAACCTTCAAAGGCTAAGACAATTATCACGGCTCACAAATATTGCAGCTAGGTGCGAGTAAAAGACAATATTGGTGCTAGTAATTATCACATATGTGATAGAACTGGTTTAACACATTCCAAATATAATTTTAACACAGAGACCATTGCTATGATGAATTCAAGAAAGGGAAGTGACGAACGCAAAAGGAAAACACGATTTATCCTTTTCTATAACTGACTGAAGTAACGCGTGATAACAGATAACACGGGCGAATTTCTGCTCATTAATAGGGGGGTTGGATGGCCGAATGGTTAGCACGCGCGCGCTGTATCATACGGTCTGTCATTGAGTCAACTGGCGGGGTTTCGATTCCCCGGTTGTACGTGACAAGGAATAGGGTCGCCTGTCCAACCTTGTGGGTTTTCTCCGGGTCCTCCGGTTTCCTCCCACTGCTAAAGACCCCTACGCGCAAGCGAATTATTGAAATAAAAAAAAAATTAAACCATATGTTAGTCCCGAAATGACCTTGTTTGTGTCGAGTGGACGTTAAACCCCATTTCGCTCTCTCTCGTTGCTCATTAATAATTCCTCCGAAGACCATAAGTTGATATGTGAGACTATGGGAGGATATCTGACAATTCAAAAAATAATTGACTGTCAGTAGATAAGATAAAGCGAGAAAAATAGAAAAAAGTTCGTGCATTACCATGTTTTTATTAAGAATAGAATGAATAAAAACGAGGGAATGAACGGGGGGAGGGGGAGGTTGGGGCGCATTATGAAAATTAACAATTGTGAAGAATACTGTTATAGCTAGAATAATTTCAATATAGTTATATACACAGTCAGGTGAACCACACTATTGTTTTGATTCCAATTCCCTAGGTTCAAACATATGCTTCTATTAGCTACAATTCGTGATGAGCGTTGTGCACGAGGTAGGCTATGATAACGCCTGGTAGACAGTGAAGGTTGCCAAAATGAAATGAAAAAGAATGGGGTTGAATGTTTGGTAGTCACAAAATGAAATGAAATGCGGTTTACCGTAATTCTTGTCTGTTGTTGTTCTTAGTGTTTAACGTCCGCTTCCACCGACGGTGATATCGCAGTCAAGGTGTCTTATTTTATTTTATTATCTTAACGCACGCGCAGGGGCCTTTCTTGTGAGAGGAAACCGGAGTACCCGGAGTAAAACCACGAGGTTGAGAAGGCGCCCCTATCTACAAGCCACACACGCTCACACCAGGGATCGAAACCACAGCCCAAAGCCAGAGGTGACCGGCCAGCTAGAGGTCGAAGCGTGACACTCTAGACCACTAGGCCATCCCAGACATTTTGCCCATACAGCAGCACTATGGCCTATCCCCATGCCTACTAGACAGCGGCGTGTTCGTTCTGCACCACTGTCAATGGGACAATCGCGAAGATCTTTCTCGGCCAACACCGGAATCGAACCCGATAACTTGGTTAGCGAACGAACATGGTACTCACAGATCCACCACGGCTACTACATAAAGTAGTTGTTCAATGAATATATATAAAATAACTTACCTAGAAACAATAGAATACACAATTTCATTCTGTTGTAGATGCTATTTGTCCACTTGTCTTCTTCTTTTAAAAAACGCCATTTAGTTTTTCAGTGTCTCGTGATAAGACGGGCTAGTCAATAATAACCCTGAAATATAAACACCGGTAATAAGGCACGGTAGTCAATAACATCCCTGGAATATATACACCAGTAGTAAGACAGGCTAGTCAATATTAGCCCTGGAATATAAACACCGGTATCAAGACACGGTAGTCAAAAACAACCCTGGAATATAAACACCATTATCAAGGCACCGTAGTCAATAACAACCCTGGAATATAAACACCGGTATCAAGACACGGTAGTCAATAACAACCCTGGAATATAAACACCATTATCAAGGCACCGTAGTCAATAACAACTCTGGAATATAAACACCGGTATCAAGACACGGTAGTCAATAACAACCCTGGAATATAAACACCATTATCAAGGCACCGTAGTCAATAACAACCCTGGAATATAAACACCGGTATTGACGCCACCGGAAAATATAACTTGGAATATGCCACATCTAGTAATATTGTGAGGAAGATATCTAACCTTGTAGGTTTTCTCCGGGTCGTCCGGTTTCCATACACAGCTAAATTTCCCTACGCGCAAGCGAATTATAAAAATGACCTAGATTTCGAGACTAGGTAACTGGTGGACCCGGAGAAAGCCTACAAGGTTGGACAGGTGATCCTAGTAAGTCGTTCAATCAACCCAACCAGTGATCCACAACCAGGTGATCCTAGTCAGTCCTCAAACCAACCCAACCAGTGATCCACAACCAGGTGATCCTAGTCAGTCATTGAATCAACCCAACCAGTTATCCACAACCAGGTGATCCTAGTCAGTCGTTCAATCAACCCAACCAGTGATCCGCAACCAGGTGATCCTAGTCAGTCCTCAAACCAACCCAACCAGTGATCCACAACCAGGCGATCCTAGTCAGTCATTGAATCAACCCAACCAGTTATCCACAACCAGGTGATCCTAGTCAGTCATTCAATCAACCCAACCAGTGATCCGCAACCAGGTGATCCTAGTCAGTCCTCAAACCAACCCAACCAGTGATCCACAACCAGGTGATCCTAGTCAGTCATTGAATCAACCCAACCAGTTATCCACAACCAGGTGATCCTAGTCAGTCATTGAATCAACCCAACCAGTGATCCACAACCAGGGATGTATTTTATACCAACCCTATCAATATTTATATTTGTCTCGGAATGACCATATTCGTTACCCCCCCCCCCCCCACAAACACACACACACACACACACACACACCGTTCTTCATTAACCTTTCAGCCCATTAGCAGAACAGTTGAACATCAAAACCCATTTCATGTCTTTAAACATTTTTTCTTTCTCCATATTGATATATATACATATTGTTTTATTTTGTTTTTCCTTGTCCATACTAAGAACTTGTGTGGGATTTAAATTTAAGGATACAAAAAAACTCCTAGCTAATTCAACAATAAATAGACAAATATTACCACATTTAAAAAAGACAGTCTAAGTTTATTATGATAAACAAGCAGCGTACTTATTTATATTTCACGACTGGGTTTTGTGTGGGTCGAGAGAAAATGTCAGAAATATCTAAATATGTTTACTCGGCTACTCCAGTTTCCTCCCACAGGAAAGATCCCTGCGTGTGCGCTAAGATAATAAAAATAAGATAACATGTATGCGATATCATCGTTGATAGACGCGGACGTTAACCACCACGACAGCGTGTATTTTATACTGATATATACGCTTTAAGTCGATAAAGTAAAAAAAAACCGAGGCTTTTATTTATCACCCAATCCTTTCTTACAAGCACAAATAAATAAATATAATTCTTTGCTATAGATTTCACTTTTACTGAACCTGATCACATTACGGCGTAGTGATACATCATTTTTTGACAGCAATTCAACCATTGCAAAGGACCTTTATATTGACCCAGTGTTTCCTTTCAATTCAATTAAATAAAAAATAGGCCTTTTTTTAATAACAAAGATAGGTTGCCAGGCAACGAAACATACGCCCACAGCAGCTAAATCACCCGGGCAGTCAACAAGAGTTGTCGCATATTTTTACTTTTTTCGGTAATGAAACATTTATAATACACTAAAATCTGATTAAGAGCAACAACTCAGAAAACCATTAGAATTTGTTTGGTTTTTATAAAGTTCAGCCCCATACTAACATTTTGTATACAAAACTTTTAATACTGTATCATGGATTTAGCTGTTCCAAGTCATAAAAATTCATTGAAAATCAACATACTTGTTCGCCTCAAGATCTTAAACTCTGTGTATCAATCTGAAGTCAATCGGATATCAACTCTGGCAGTAATTATCGAAAATCACTGAAAATGAATAGACTTCGTCGTCTCATGACATTAAACACTGTGTATAAATTTAAAGTCAATCGGATATTAACTTTAGACTCTAGAGCGTCCACAAGATTTTTTCAAAAGTGATCAAGGGCCATAACTCTGGCAGTAATTATCGGAAATTGCTGAACATCAATAGGCTTCTTCGTCTCATGACCTTAAACACTGTGTATAAATTTAAAGTCAATCGGATATTAACTTTGGCCTCTAGAGCGTCCACAAGATTTTTTGAAGTGATCAAGGGCCATAACTCTGGCAGTAATTATCGGAAATCGCCGAAAATCAATAGGCTTCTTCGTCTCATGGCCTTAAACAATCTAGAGCGTCCACAAGCAATTGTGGACGCCGGACGGACGGACGGACGGGGGCGACGACAATATACGACCACATTTCAATGTGGGCGTATAAAAAGTCACTTTTATTAAAAGAATTAATTGCTTTTTGAAAATATAAAGTAGTTCCTTTTTAATTGACCAATCAAATTCATGTAAAACGATATCTCCTAAGGAGATTATGAAATTTATCCCACAAGCGATATCTACTGTACAGTGTGTTATTGGGTGATAAAACGATTTAATAGAGAGATTCAGAGATCAATGGGTTTTTACTTCTAGTGTTATTCACCATGTTACGTGATAAAAAACAAGACAATCCAGTATCAGATCAATTACAGACTACAACATGAATATTCCATCACAGAACATGAAACGATCAGCTTTTTCATAAATGTACCACGTCAGCCCTATAAATTATTTTCTATTATTCAAACCTTTAAATTCGTTTTTAGGCGCTATTCACTCGTGCTTCCCGCATAAATTCTTTTCTATAACCTATTAAGGCGCGATTCACACGGGCGTCCCGTCGTCATTGGCGAAGTCAGTGCAGAAACGTTGGACGAAATGAAACAAAATGAAATTGGATTAAACACCCTACTTTTCTGCCCCGTACGCCCGTCTTCATTAGCCCAGTTGGTGCAGAACAGTAGAACATTAAACTCCATTTCAATTTCCGGTTGTACGTGACAAGGAGTAGGGTTGCCTGTCCAACCTCGTGAGTTTTCTTCGGTTTCCTTCTACTGCTAACGACTCCTACGCGCAAGCGAATTATTGAAATAAAACTGAATCATGTGTTAGTCCCGAAATGGCCTAGTTTCTGTCGAGTGATGTTACCCCCCCCTCTCTCTCTCTATCTCTTTCTCTCTCTCTCTACGAAACGGAAGATGGCCTTCATGCATGAACATGGACATTGAAAATTGGCTATAGTGTTCATACGTCAGAAGTAAAAGGTCGTTCGACAAAACGTTTTGTTCCGTGTAATTTTCTTTTGGTTCGAACGATCACAATTTATATCGACTGATATTTCATTCGTTTGGTGCCAGTGTGAATGGGGCTTTATTGTATTGTTTGCAAAACGAGTCGGCTGATCTTGAGAAGGTGGAATTTCTATATTGATGCCAGTGTAAATAGGGCTTTAGTGCATATGCGACACCACGAATCGGTTGATCCGGTGGAATAGTCGTATGGAAACCAACGATGGAAAACATCTGGAAGAAAAACGCTTTATGCTTTAAAGATAGAGAGTGGTTTTATACCAAGAACAACTTCTCATGCTCCGATTTCATTAACCCAGTTTTTTTTTTTAACAAATTAACATTAAAATTTGTCAGCTATGAAACATATCTCAGTTATATTTATTCTATCCACCAGCAACTTCACAAATTACAAAAAAAGCTATATGTGCGGAATCATGTAACAAGAGAGAGAGAGAGACAGAGAGAGAGAGAGAGAGAGATTTAACGTCCGCTAGATACTATTTATTTCATGTTATACAAGATGGAAATGATGTTCAGCCTTTACTCCCTGTGACGTACTAAACAAGCCCGGGATTGAACTCATGTCACATATAAATGGCCGTATGACCCGATCAATATCCATAAATGTATTTTTCTAGAATACATGAATTATACGGTAAAATCTATACATATATCTTAGATTTAAATGGAAATGTTTGAATTAATTTCCGATCAAATGGTGACGTCATTGGAGTTTCATTACGTTTTTATCATCTTATAGTCTCGTTTAACCAGATAACAACAACTAACATGTTTACAGTGTGGCTGATCGCGACTACATTTTACTGAAATGGGACTGCTGTGGACGACAATTACAGAAGCCCCAGGATGGAAACCTTAGATATATTTCTAAACCACCAGTTCTAAGAAATTTAAACATGGTAAGGTTTCTACCGCCCTCCAGACTAATTCCTTGATCAACCTTTGTCCACTGCGCATCTTCTAGACATACGTCACGATGTTGACATGTGGAATGCTGAACCTACGTCACAATGCCGGCATCTTGAATTATAAACGAACGCCACAATGTTGACATCTTGAATGAAGCCATATCAATTTATGTGTCTATAAAGGCAGTGGCCATTTACCACATGTGGTAAGCAAGAATTTCATAATAGCCTTACGACTACAGACCGCAATGGTTACCCGATTTAAATGAAACTTACAGATTATGATAAAATTGATCATATCTCTGAGTAGCCAAACTTTCGGCCACTTCCGGTTCGGGGTTTCCGAGATATGGGGGGTTACCACACATTTCATGTGGCACGGCTACAGTCCGCAATAATCAACTAATTTCAATGAAACTCGCAGATTATGATCACATTAATAATATCTCAAAGTAGCCAAAGGTTCGGTC